TTTTTACCCCCTTTTTTTTTTTTTTTTTTTTTTTTTTTTTCTAGCAAACCTTTGAGCATCACCAGCACACGTTTTCTATGTTAACAAAGAAAAGTTACAGTCATATTAGAATTTTGTGACAATTTCACATAACTCCATCACTCACTATCCTCCTTGTGGTTTCAGTCATGTTCATAGGAACGGAGTAAAAAACTGTTGAGCGAAATGGAATTTCCATCGATAAAGTCTCACGCTACTGTACCTTTCCCTGTCGTACGCAACAACATCCGCTGCTGATAGATACTTGATGAACACACTGTAGATACACGAATGAAATCAGCAGCGCACACGTGCACGACTCGCTAAGGCCGCGATGTGAGTTGGCGAGTGCCTATTCACGGATATAGTATATATAAGATTCTTTAAAACCATGACTCACCATAGGAAATTCCTCTGATGGGCTTAGCCAAGCATTGAAGTCTCCAAGCTTAACGGGCAAAGGTTCGCCATTCCTGTTTGAATTTATTCTGGATCCCTTGTATACTTTGGATGCCTTGTATATGCTTTGAAATTATCCCACGCCTCAGGTATGCTCGTTATACACTACTCGTGGACACATTTTCAATCTAGCCACCTCCTACGGAACCAGCAATACCGTCGGTATGCAACGCCTGCTACGCGAAGAGTCCTTTGCAGTGCTGTCAGAGGCACCTCGTAGTGCCTTGTACTTTGTGCAATCCCTCTCTGGCATCTTTGCTGTTCCTCCCACCACCAACCTTTTAAGGGAAGACATTCACCTCGGCAAAGCAACTCCCAACCGTCCAGGTATTAGTGGTGTTCCGCCAGCCATCTCTACCGCCATCGGTTACTCAGCTTGTCTCCGTACTATAGGCTTGGGCTCTGTCGATTTTACTCTACTGGGTCAGAGGTTTTTCCATGGGGAATCACGTACTGTTAAGATTCATTTTGGAGAACGTGATCTAATATAATTGGAAATATTTAATATGTTAACTTGGATTATTTTTATCTAATGTTTGTGATTATGTCGGTGTCATTTATGGCCTACAGTGTATTGCTACTGTGATAATACATAAGATTGGAGTATTGAGAATATCTGAGTGATGTATGTGGGAATTTTATATATTTTTTTTCAAGATATAATTTCGGATTAATTCTTATATGGATGTGAATTTTATTAATTTACAGAACCAGCAGTTGGAGGATATGAGATATATTTTGAAAGGATCAACTGCGATGAGTAGAGCGTGAAGATTTTTATCTTTTGACAAGGATATTAGTGCTCTATAGCAAAATGATATCTTCAGACTGTGTCTTGGATATAAATAATGTATTCCATTCGACGTCAGTAGTTGTTGGAGGAAGTTGTTTAACTAGATCAGAACCTACAACTGTATTGAGAGATGTATCCGCCAGGGTCCATGGAGGAGAAGTTTTGGCTGTTTTGGGATCAAAGGGGTCTGGAAAGAGGGCGCTTCTTGACGTGATCGGTAAAAAAAACTATACTTTGGTTTTAAGTTAATTAATAAAATATTGTCGCACCTTCTTAATGTAATATATGATTTTGAATTCACAGCTGGAAGAGCAGTTGGTGAAACCAGAGGCAGGGTTACACTGAATGGTAGTTTGTTGACCCCAGAATTATTTAGACGCCATGGAGGATACGTAGCACACAGATGTCATCTTCTGCCCAGTTTAACTGTACGACAAACTCTGACCTATGCGACTTGGCTTGGAAATTTAAGTAATAGGGAAGCCAGAGTACGTCAAACACTTGCCGATTTGGCTCTCTCCCAAGTCGCTAACAGATCTGTCAATGACTTGACACAACCAGAATACAGGCGGCTCATGCTCGGAGTTCAATTGGCCAAAGATCCAACGTTGCTTTTGTTGGATGAACCTACTTGGGACACTGATCCCTTGAACACGTATTTAATAGTTTCCATGCTATGGTCTTATGCAACCAGAAGAGGTTCCATTGTTGTCTTAACCATGGAAACACCAAGATCGGATGTTCTTCCATTTGTTAGTAGAGTAGCTCTACTCTGTCTTGGTGCAGTTGTTTATTCAGGTCCGACTAGAAGTATGCTTGATTATTTTGCATATATTGGATTTCCTTGTCCAGAGCTGGAAAATCCATTAATGTATTACTGTAAGTTAACGATACAGATTTTACAATATTGATCTCAATTATAATCAAACTGGCACGTGATATTTTATCTTTTTGTTAATTTCCAGTGTGTCTCTCGACAGTAGACCGTCGATCTCGTGATCGATTTTTGGAATCAAATCAACAAATCTCAGTACTAGTTGAAAAATTTAAAGTCGAGGGTGTTTTGTATATGAAAGAAGCACCTCAAGGTCCGGCCAGTGTAAAAGATGCACCATTGGGTTTGATGCATAAAGGATTGGGTCGCGGTATTAAACCAGGATGTATTTCCACTCTGCTGGCTCTTTATTTGTAAGTCTTCACGTTTATCCGTATCTAATGGAAATTTAATACTTTCTATATGAAACTATTTGTCCAATCTCTAGAAGGGGTATGGCTGCCACGTTTTCCTTTAATAAATGCGGTTTGGCACATTTAGCTGCCAGATTATTATTACTGCCATTTTCTGTTGTCTTACTCAGCATATTGTACTCGTACTCCACACCAGTTCAATCAAGAATATTTCTACAAACAGGAGGACTAATGTTTAATATTTTAATTATATTCTATTTTGCTGGGTTAGCTACAACGGCACTACTATGTAAGTCAAAATGCATACTTACTTTACCACATGTCTCAAATTAATAAATACATTTCAAATATTCAATTCCTTGTATTACAGTCCAAGGTTTTCGGGCAAGATATTACCAAGAAAAAAGAGAAGGTTTATACGGTGGAGCAATGTTCTTAAGTGCCTATACACTTTTAACGTTACCACTGAGCTTTGTATCGACTATTATTACTATTGGTATCCTGGTACCAATTTTGGAGCTAGACCTTTCGTCGTGGATATATGCCTCTGGTATTCTTTGGGCTAGTTACGTCGCAGCTGAACAAGTAACAGTTGCTGTGTTCATGGTAATAGCTCGTCCTATGACAGGTGCGATAACAGTTTTATATATGTCATTACTCTCGGTAGTGATAGCATCTGGCGGCGTTCGTAGCCTTAGAAATTTACCAGATTGGCTAGCAGCCGTTTCCACGGCTCTGCCGACCAGGTACGCATCATTAGCGTTAAATCAATTAACCATTGATATACCAGCTTTCTCCAATTTGCCGTACAATGAAAGTATTTCTTGTCCTAGTATTCCTGAATTATGCAGGTATCCCGATGGGAAAACGTATCTCATTGAACGATTCACCCGCGAGGGTGAAAATATCTCAGAAGTACTAAATATCGAACTCAATCTGTTGATATCTCTAGCATTTGCATTGGGCTTAGTTATTCTCAACAGTGTTCTTTATTTGCTACCTTTACCAGCTAGGATTAAAGCAAAATTCAGGGAATAGAGATATTATAAGTTGTAAATAAAATTCGTAAAGACAATAAAAGTCTTTTAAACTATATTAAAGTGGAATTTATGTATATCAGGATCAGAAATTGAAGGCAAATATTGTAGAAATCATTTATGTTACTTTCAAACTTATTATATGACTATAGAAAATTAGTTAATGTTATATTAAAGTTCTTTTGACTTCCTTAAACTTATAGTGAACCTAATAATTACTTTCTATTAGATAATATATCTATTGTATAATACAAAGTAACATTGTATTCATAACACGGGACCTTTAAAATAATACTTTTTTAAAAGTAATTAACAATGAATATAAGCTTCAACTGTTGGCTGCCGGATGTTATTATTTTTTTAAATGCGACAAAATGATTAATTAATTGGTATTTTATTTAACGGAAGTCTCAGAAATCTAAGTGAAACTTGACCAATTTGATAGACCTGCATTTCAACTCTCTCCATCTATTGGTACTTGACCCATTGGTTTCAAATCGTCTGCCACGGAAAATTCACAACCGGTTGAACTTACGATTTCACTTATGTCGATCTTTGGTGCAATCTCGATGAGCTTCAAGCCTTCACCTCTTATCACTTCAAAAACTGCCAAGTCCGTAATTATCAAATCGACACATTCCTGACCTAGATTTAAACGAGTAACAATTTTTTCATGTAATCTCATAAAACACATTAACAAATCAGTCGTGTCTAAATAATCTATTATTTTGGAGTATTGAAACAATGTATAGACACAAAAAAAGTCCGCTTTTTATAGTGTACCTGTAATAGGTAGAGTACAGTTGGGAAGAATCTTTGGACTTCCATCACGTGCTTTGTGCTCCATTGTTACTACCACTCTTGTGGAAGCTGTGCCAACAAGATCCATCGCACCACCCATTCCTTTAACCATCGTACCCGGGATCATCCAATTTGCCAAATCACCTTTCTCAGATACTTGCATTCCTCCAAGTATTGTTAAATCAATGTGCCCCCTAAACAATTATGTTATAGTCTAAAGTTTCGCGGAAATAACAATGTCTGTTGAAAAAAAACATTGTTTTACCCTCTAATCATTGCGAAACTTTCATCGCTACTAAAATACGAGGCTCCTGGTACTACCGTGACTGTTTCCTTTCCGGCATTGATTAAATCAGGATCTACTTCAGACTCTTCAGGATAAGAACCCAATCCAAGTATTCCATTTTCTGATTGCAAAGTCACATTTACTCCTTTCGGAATGTAATTGCTAGCAAGCATAGGAATACCGATTCCCAAATTAGCTGCAAGAGCAATTAAATGTTATATTGTGATAAACAATCGAATAAATAAAAGTTAAACGTACCATACATTCCATCTTTAAATTCAAGAGCAGCTCTTCTTATAATTCGCTCTCTAGCCTTGCCTGCTGGAGTTACTTTCTTCGGTTTTGCTGCCTGTTTTGTTATTCTTTTCTATGTTTGAAAATAAATTCTTATTACTCTTCAAGTTATTAGATTTAAATAAGATATACTCACCTCAATTCGTTTCTCGTAGGATGATCCTTTGATAATTCTATTTACATAAATTCCTGGTAAATGTACTTGATCAGGATCTAACTGACCGTTCTCTACAATCTCCTCTACTTCGACGATGGACGTTTTAGCCGCTTTACACATAACGGGATTGAAGTTCCTAGCTGATTTTCGAAAAATTAGATTTCCAGCCTTATCTGCTTTCCATGCTTTGATAAAGGCGAAATCCCCAGTGATTGCAGTTTCCAAAACATAATTTCGTCCATTAAATGTATTCACGCTTTTTGATTCACCCGATATTTCGGCATCTCCTTTCTCGTTATATTTTACAACGACGTTACCCTCTTGAATAATTGTGCCAAGTCCTGTAGCTGTGTAAAATGCTGGAATGCCTGCTGCTCCAGCCCTTATTCGTTCTGCCAAAGTACCCTGATAATTTTAAATACAAGAATTTTTATTTATTCTTCTATTCAGTATTCTCTGTTTCCGTAATCTATTACCTGAGGAGTCAATTCTACTTCCAGCTGACCACTGAGGTATTGCTTTTCAAATTCTGCATTTTCTCCAACATACGAAGAAATCATTCTCTTTATTCGGTGTCCCTGAAGCAGAATACCCAGCCCAAAATCATCCACACCAGCATTATTAGAAACTACTGTTAAGTTCTTTGATCCTTTCTTAAGTACTGCTGCAATCAGGTTTTCAGGAATTCCACAAAGACCAAATCCACCAACCAATAGTGTTGCACCATCAGGTATGTCGGATATGGCCTCACTTGCTGATTTAAATATTTTTCCATCTCCAATTGGAGTACTAACTTTTTCTGTTTCATTATCAGCTTTTGATATTTCAGATTTAACGGAGAAGTTTACAGCACAAATCTGTCGAATAATAAGCCACAAAAGTTACATGTAATCATTCTGTGATAGCACAAATGCATAGTTTTATATATATATATTACACATATAAAAATCATTATAAATAAAGGTACAGCAGTTACCACTCTTTACTATGAAATTTGTATTATTAAATATCTTTAAAACTAGAAACTTGTAAATAATACGTATCGATATCTATAAGTCTATAAGTTAAGCAACAAAGAAAAAAGTGGTAACATATTATGGTTTTTAGAGTTAATATATCACATTTAACTTTAATATTAATATTAAATATATCATGTACGGATTCGAGGTTATGTTATTCTAGATTGATAGAGTAAAAATGATCAGCATACCCTTGTAATTTTAAAATGCTGATATACCCTTTGATAACGGGGACCATTGCGAAAACAAAAACTAGATAATCTTCCTATTGCAAATGTCATGATTTTCAACAAACCTTTATCCTTACTATAAATTTGTTTACACAATGACAAAAGAACTAGCAGGTATGTTACATGTATTTTCGCATAGAAGTCGTAATCAACTATAATCAACACTGTACTAATTCCAAATATCTTAAATCAACTGGTTTCTAGCATTGGCTGAAGCAGTAAATGCTTTGGTTAAAATTTGTTTTGCATCTTGTGAAAGAGGCCTGCGCACTTCCAGGTTACGAGACCGTGCCTTGATTGGGTAAAATCCGGCTTATAATCATGATATTACCACGCGTTCAAGAAATTTATATGTAAATGACCTCTCGTAAAAATACGGAAAATGTCAACTTATATTTTAATGTGAAATGGTACCTAATGGAGCCTTTGGAATATAACTTATTTTCAAGCACAGTATACTTTATCGAAACGAAAACAATCCGATTTATCTAATAGTTAAAGAAAAGCAAGTAAAAAAATATTATCGTTGTGATTCTTTATCACGATGTTCTATTTAAAAAGATTGTTTACTCCTTCAGACATGGAGTCTTTCATAATATACATGCTATAGCAATTTTCTGTAACAAATATGTCCAATAATCATCACCATTATTGTAAATACGAATGTATCGTAATACGCTTTTAATCGTAATTAATTTGTTTTAAATTGATTTTGTATGACCATTTTTATTTAAAAGGTATCTATACAAATATCAAGGTATTTATATATTACTATTATACGGTTTAATCTCATTACACAATATAAACACTTGAAAGATATTCTTTAAATTAAATAACACTAATTGTAAGTTTAGGTGGGCCCTAAAGAATTAACACTCTGTACTTGATCACTCGCGTTTATAATATAATTATTATATCTGCGTGGCATCCCGGAATTATAAATAAATTATATTTTGCCATAACTGTATCTGTTGTAAATCTACAATGACACAGAATATCCCGTTTATTACTAAGTCGCGACTGCTAATATTCAATTTAAAGGATATATTTTCCTCACGCTCACAATAATTCAATGTAAAATATATTCGTCGTATACACAATTCCGTTTTATTATTTATCCGTTTAATATTTAAGTGACACAATATTGCAAACATTCCTAGTTCAGTGCTTTCTGGCCTGGTTACTTTTCTTTGCCAGCTTCTCACTCAAATCAATAACAAAATAAATCATTATTTTATTTTGCATATTTAAGTTTAATCATGCTCATCGTCAATCATCGAAGGCGTCCCGCTCTCGCATCAGTCACAGCACCCCAGAGTTCGATCACAAAATCATCAGTGAAGCCAAAAGCTTCCAGATCAGAATTATCAATAGCCTCAGCAAAGTCCATACTGTTTTGTTTTCCTTCTGACAATTCCCAAATTTGTGTAGCTACAACAAAGGGAAATCAAAGTATATATTACGATACATATTCCATTATGTGATAACCCATCATCACTATGAGACTTCCTGAACAATTAGAAAATTACCTAATTCATTATCATTTATCCCCATAAAGCTTTCCAGAATTGAATTAATCTTTTCTATTCCAACCGTAGCTGCATCGTCACTCTGAAAGCAAGATATCAATATTATAGTATACAGGGTGTTCGTTATGAAACGCACTGTAGTAACATCGTTGCATTCCTTGTCAAATTCTAATGAATACGTGTATTTTCATTTTTTATTTCACATATTAAAATTTCGAGATAATCAAGGTTGAAGTTGCAGTAATGCGACCAATCAGAACGCGTTTAAACGGAGTGTAGATGACGTCCAGAGTCAGCCCGCAAGGCCTGCTTACAGTAGGCCAATAACACTAAGAGTATCGTCTCTTGTATCTTACTCAATTACATGCAGATAAACAGGGACACAACGACGATACTCTTAGTGTTATTGGCCTCCTGTAAGCAGGCCTTGCGGGCTGGCTCGCGACGTCATCTACGCTCGCGTTTAAACGCGTTCTGATTGGTCGCATTACTGCAACTTCAATCTTGATTATCTCGAAATTTTGATATATGAAATAAAAAATGAAAATACACGTATTCTTTGGAATTTGACAAGGAATGCAACGATGTTACTACAGTGCGTTTCATAACGAACACCCTGTATACAGCAATAAATACTAATTCACAAACAATAGAAATAGCACAAGTCACGTTAAATACATTAACAAAGTACTTACTACTTTTTCTATTTGAGCACTTCCGTCAGCCTTAAACCTGAGAGTTTCTTTACCGGAACCATAAGCCTGTTTTTTGCCTTTCCTGGGATCGCTCCTGGGTCCGATACTACCAAATCCATTCTTTTGTGGTTCAATTAATCTCAAGGTAAACTTTGAACCCTTGGGAATGTTCTTTAACATCTTGGCAACTTCGAAATGTCTCCTACCAACTAAATTTTCCGAATTAATCTTTTCGATGTGATCTCCGACTTGAATGACCTTGACTTTGTCTATCACGGAACCCTCCTTGATTCTCTTGATAAATGCATAGCCAGCGCCATTATCCGTAATTGTAAGACCAAGTGCATCGTCTGTCTTGACCAGTTCGATTTCCTTCGGTCGTCCTGGAATGATAACGTAAGCACTCATATAAACTATGTATTGTGTTTTTAGTATATTGTACCATGTCAGCGAATCTTATTTTTTTTTTACAGAACAATTAAAACGTCGAATAAGTAAATAACAAGTGATCTAACACCGAGTAATATATTCGCGCAATAGTTTCGAGAAACACGACTCAAGGTCAATAATAATCATGGATTTTATCGGTATGACATTTCGCACGTCATCCTACAGTATCCAATCAGCCATTCTATACAAAGACCATATGGTTTCATGTGGCACTATTACACTCACTGTATACAAAACCAGTTGGACAACTCATTTGTAATACCGTTTCACGTCTAGCATAAGGCGTTACTAAATTTTTAGATGAAGTTTAAAAATTTACTGAAGCGAATATGAAAATATGAACAATATATGGTGCGATAAAGTAAAGACTGAGAGTATCACTCTTTAAATATAGACAATACGTCTTATCAGTGATAATATGAATCCAAGGAATAAAAATTCTACGTCTATGATTGAAATTGGAGTATAGCATGCATGTCAAATACAGAAAACCATAATAACTATAAGTTGACAAATCAATTATCATGAAAGCCGATATCTCATATCTATAATGTAACAAAAATATATGCGATAATAAGCAAGATATCAGATAATGTCATTACTTTATAGGATCCAAGTACAATTTTTTTATTACAGCTTGTGAAAATAGGTGGGGTAAGACGCACCCCTTAAGGAGATAATGCCGAGAGAGAATTTTCAAAAATATTTCATGATTACTCCAATCAGATGAAAAAATATATTAATCGAATATGATCAGTATAAAACTGTTGTCATATATTGATCTTATACATATGTTACAAATCCAAGTGTTTTATAAAATGTTGTTTCCTGTGCTTTCTATGGTAGTTACTTTTCAAATTACAAACCTTTTATTCTTATATTGAAATACGTCGGAATAACAAAATACTTGTTTAAGAAAATACTAGCATAGAAAGGATAGGGAATAACACTTTATAAAAGTGATTTGGAGTGTACTGATCGTATATGCACAGTTTGGACCGTCGAACTCGTCTTCCTCACCTTCCCCACTCACCTTTTTTATGAGCAAATATAAAATCGTCCAAGCCAATTTGCCCACCGAGCAATTCCGACATTTCTACTTTGTGCGTATTTAAAGTGCAGAAAAGTATCTGAAACAAAGAAACAATAGCTATGATCGATCCTATATTACTCATTGCAAATTCAATATCATTATCACATAAAAAAAGTCTATCTGGCATGCAAACAAAGCTAGTCCGACCCACGCATTGTTTGCGGGAAGCATCATGAGGTAGACAAATTTTGAAAAAAAAAGTACGATAGATAAAGAAAAACGAAAAAAGGATATAAATCAAAGACATCCGTGAAGCCTTTTTAGGTAATCGGATAGTTTAATTCACGGAGGCCCTTTAAAGTTTTACTGTAAAAGTATAACATTACGGCGATTCCAGGGGGACGCCGGGATATCCGCCAGGTCGGAGGGGCCATGGGCCGTGACCAACGTGCTTCCTGCGTCCGGTAGGTATCTATACAGGGTGTTTCATAAAGTCATTTTGAAACTTACTTCCTCTGGTGGAATGTCATAGCACTCGGCAATCTTCTGGTAGAGCTCCCGCACATTGCTAAATCCAGATATAAGTCCCATAGGACTTCCGTGAGCCAGTTGACAATGAAAAACCAATTGTGGCCTTCCTAGAGGACTGACAGGTGGTAATTCTTGAGAGTTTCGGCTGGTACCATTGGTATTGGTATGATTATCATGATGGGTACCATTGGTTGGCTTCTCCGTTACCGGAGATCTTGGTAAACTTTTCGGTTTAAATAGTGGCATGTTTTCTTCTTATCTGTTGGGAATTAATAACGTCATTGTTAGTGAATCGATTCAATCGTCAAGGTTATGTGGTTTAATATGCTCATAAAAAAAATTAAGAGTAACTGCTAACGCATTCGATAACCTATATTGCGTCAGCTCATTACCTGCCTACCTACTTTGTACTTTCCATGTACGATAATGAGGATGAAGTATTTGTTACAACCGCTGTGCTACTCGCCCTCGCGGAAATGACACGTTCTCTCCGAACAACAATTGTTACCAGCGTCTGGCAAGGACCGGTTTTGTAAGATTTCAACGGTATGGCCAATAATCAAAAAGCCCATTTATCCGTATACCGTTCGCGGCTTTAGAAAGTTTAACGGACTTATTCAATGCAGTCTTAGACTGTCGAATTAAATAATACTGACGTTTCTTTCTGGTAATTGGAACGACTTATCGTGATCTATATGTATATATATGTGTGTACATCTTAAGCACCAATAGATTGTCGGACGAAATGTTATCAATAGAAAGACTCAATATGGTACAATCGTGTGGTTAGATTGTCTTTTGCAGTTCTAAAAAACAAGAGCTCTATAGGTACTTTCAATACCTAAGTAATCTCATATTAAATTCCTGCAGAGTGGAACGTTGTTCCTTTTACACGTTTAGAATTTGTGACTAGAGAGTATGTCAAGTTTAGGGTGAATTTACTCATTTGATAGGTAATGTAAGAGTACCTATGATAATGAGCAAATGAAACGAGATAAAGTTGATTCATAATAGATTAATTAGGAATTAAAAGAGAACTAGATTTACATGAAATTTTATCTAATATTCTATAAGGCGATATAGAATGACTTTTTCAAAATATATCTTACTCCAAAATATTTCGGTAACTTATTTTACTAATGCTGGATATTGCACGTCTAGAAAATTGTATTCTTTAAGGTACTTCTAAGTGTATGACTATGAACTACTAATTATTTCTATCCAATTTTGTCTGACATGTAATTAGAGTTATTACCAGTCGTTACAGACGTGTGTCAATTCAGTGAAATTCATTGCAACACACAGATACCGAGAATCATAGTGTAATCTAACGTTCGTGAATCACCGAATTTCGCAAGACCCTTCGGAAACCAGAAACCAAAGATCTCGCAAATTTCATTGCAGCGATCAAGCAATAAAATCAAAGAAATCAGTATTGCCTCGCAGGCTACAAGAAGGGATCATTACTTTGGAATGGCAAGCATCCCGTACTTATATGCTGTTTGCAATAAAATTTACAATCGTTTGTCACACACGTCAGAGAAATCTAGAAACATATTGAATCGACTTGTATACCGATATCTAAAGCTATATATCTAAAATTTCAGCGAATCAGTAGCAAGACGCTTGATATCAATTTAAAAGAATTTGCCCCGAAAATCATATCTCTCTTAATGAATCAGATTACAAGGACCACACGTTAGATATTGCCAAAAAAACTAGACAAAAATTTCTGATAAATATCACATGATCATTCGTTGATATTAATTGAACAAGATACACACGTAGATCAATAATACAAAAGAGAACGTCTTTGCCATTAAACTATTATCACCTGCATGAAGACGAGTATACACACCTGTATAAATTGTCACCGATAGTTCACGGTTGAGTTCGCACTTTCGTAACGAAGGTATCCAGAACGTAGGCTCGTAGTAATACGTATCCTTTTAAAATCTACCAAAACCCGAAAGCAATCGAAGGCTTGACTTCATAACAGCACCATCGACACTAAAGTTTTTATCTTGTGCTGTTCGCTTTATCGTTCTTAGATTACCACAAACACCTCCAGTGCTTATCTACACTTAACATTATCATCGTAGATCTTCGCTGTTCACGATACTTCAGCAGATTCTTGTATTTTCCCGCGAATCAAGAATTCCCTTCCACATTCTGTTGGAACCAAATCGGTTCACCAGTTTCACGATTTCTTCTGTTCCCTTGTAATCAGCAGATCTCATACAACAATACAACTGATTTCTGAATTTAAGCCTCAACTAATTCATTTAAGACAACACTTGTAAAGCTTCTATCGCGAAAGAGAACGCGACTCTCAACACAACTTTTACAAGGCACAATCGTTTGCCATCGTGGCCTGCAGGAGCGTACCGATGAATTTAACCTGGGAGTCAAGAAGGGGTTCCTCTGCCCACTCTCCTAAGCACCTGGGATCCATACCATTTACTGTTCAGCTACAGACAATTGGGAATGTTATATTATTGCCTAACATTTTAAGTGCTTTGAGTTAACTGTTTTATATGATGAAACATTCCTTTCAAACAGTATGCTGACACTTCTGATTTATAAGAAAACTTGCAGGAACAATATAAGATCGGGTATAAAACGAAAAGGAAATCTTTTGGAATTCCTGCAATTTCATAATTATTGTTCACATGTTTTCTTTATCGTGACCAATGTTAAAATGAGAGATCAATGTACGGATGAGACTAATGGTATGAAATAATAACTGCACCTATTGGATAAGATGCAACCTAATTTTGTAATATCAGTATCGTAAATGCAGTGGTTGGTGCGTTTTATCCCTTACGTTTTATAATAGTTTATTAGTTGAGTCAATTTCGGGACTGCAAATGAAAGAGTATAGTTATTTCTCTGTACAAATAATTATAAGCGCACGATATGACTTAAGGTACTGATTGGTGGTTATTAAAAAAATTTACTTTCTCCTACTTGCTTTCTACATATACGAATGACAATCTCGTGACTTCCGCAATTCGCCTGTTATATTATCTTCGTGGTATTGCGATGACATTAATTTCAAAAGTTTTATAAAACATGTGGAAGCTATTGATATTGGAAAGAACGTGAAATGAAATAAAATTTTATTCGTATAATAGTATTATATTGTATTGACAGGAGTGATTAACATTTTTATAATACCGCTGTATAACTTGAGTAAAATTACTTTTAATTAGCAATACAGTATATTAAAATGACTTGTCGTTGCATAAAAGTTCAATTTGAAAATTTGCACTGTGTAATTTGTTAATTGTAATATTTGAATTTCTTCGATCTAAACAATTACTACTTTAGTATTAATGTCATAGATTTTGTGATAGTCATGTGTCAATATTGGCAAGCGTATTTGATAAATAAAATAATTATAAAAATCAAATATCACATAAATATTTACGTGTATATGGTATGTTTTATGATACATTTTGCGGTATAAGTACTAGATAATATTAAATTAAAATGTACATTTTGCAACGGAATATTGTAAATACTATTATAATTTAAAACGTCTTCGGGATTATAGGATCTTCAGTCTTACGATCTACCTACAATACGTCGATAGGTAAAATTCAAATTGAAGTAGCCTATACGCTTTAATATCTATAAATACGCGTGAATGATATCCGAACTGGATGGTTTGATACAATATTAACAATTGTTGGCACTGTAAAAAGGCCTAAAGTTATAGGCAGTATTGCTTCCATTGACTTACAGTCACAGCATGTTGTAATATTGTCGAGGAACATGCTTACAGGTGTATGCTATATAGATGTATGATCTAAGATCCTCAATGGACGACACTTACATTGTACAGTGCACTCAGTGTTGTTGCAGTTATGTATATAACCTTGATATTAACAAATATTACTAAATATTTGGATCTAAATGTAGCTCAGGTTGAATAATAAAAACCCTCCAAACTTTTCCACAATTAGATCTGTCTTCTAGGGCTAAGTAATTTCTCATTGGTATAAGTAAATTGTCAAACGGGTCAGTATCCAATTGGTATTCTTGCATTGCTCTATAAACAGCCTTAAAGGGCGGCTGTTTTTGCGAGTGAAACGTACCTCGTGATCCATGTAACACCAATGCACCATACTTTTCTGCCTCGGTACAAACAGACATATACATACAATGGTCGGGTCTGTAATTATATCTGCATGGATATATGTAAAGTTTTTCAGGACGATAATGAAATATTATGTTGATTATATCTTGATCTCCCCAAGTAATCTTCAAACGGTATTCCTTGTGTATAGGAATCACATAATTTGTCCATCTAAACTCCCTCATTCTGGTCAAATTCATAAGCATGACACCAGAATTGACACCGAGCTTGCCATAATAAGGATGCTTGGCAAATCGATTGTACCATCCAGTATTTGGATCCTCATGTTCAGGACTTAAAGCAGCTAGCTGACTTGAATTCATTTTTGTAAATTCATCCCACACTTTTTCTGGTGGAGCCAAGAACAAGGTGTCTGTATCTACATACAGAACGGCATCTATATTTTCCAGTACAGTCTGAAATCAAGCTAAGTTAGGATAACCTTACAATACCATGCAATATGCCAACAATTAAAGATGACTTACAGGTAAAAACAATCTCTGTGCAGCACAGGGTTTAAACAACTTCCTCCACATAGTAACATCACTGTGCTCGGGAAATGTTACAGGTTTAACAAGAAAGTCAAATGTTTTATTTGATAAATTCTTCCATGCGCTAAGTTTTTCATTGAATGCTGGTATCAAACTATCATCAGCAATAACAATAAATCTAATAGGTCTTCTTGTAAAAACTAATGCTGATTTCAGCATAGTTAGGGACTCATCTAATCTGTCCCCACAAGCTACGACACATATTACTACCTCTTGATCTACTGTTGTATCAAAAGATGACTTTGCAGTTGTCGAAGAGACAATACTCCCTTTATAATGAGCATAATTTAATTTATTTGAGAAATTTGTAGTGAAGTTGAGCAAAAGTATAAAAGCAGCAAGGACAAGGCACACAAAGAATAATCTATAACCGGATTTCATTGCGTTCTCTTTCTTGTTGTCATATTATCAGCCAAACATTTTCATCTCTGTACACATTAAATACAGCCAAAAGGCCCCTAACATGTTGACACTTTTTATTAGTACATCTTCGCAATCTCATTCATCTCTTTTAATTTCAAACTGTTTATTTTTACGATTTATATTTAAAGATCCTAACTTTTTTTATCGTGGGTTTCTATAATTCTCCATGGTACAAATAAACCAGAACAGCCAGTAAATACCACTCGTGCTTTTGCTCCAACCGCGTAGGCTACACTGGGCATTAGAAGTTCGGGTATCTACGAAGTGTGCTTAAATCGAGACATGAGATTTACTTACGACATCACGAGAGATCACTTTCCATGAAAATTGTACAGGTATTTTGATATCAACTAAAATTTTTGCAGTTCAGTGTCAAATGACATGTTACTTGTGTCATAATAACGTTTGCAAAAATACCGGATTTTTATCAAGCGGGTCAATAAAGTATATGCGCGGACTAAATTGTTAATTAGACGTTTAAATAGTAGATATAATTGTTGAGTAAAAGATAGATTCATTAATTCTGCTTCTACGGGCATTATCAGAATAAGCAATAATTATTTGAACACATTTAGGTAATTAATCAATTGAGTTGTCATCTAAAACACGATTACTTAAATTCTCATTTTATGTTGATAAGCCTAGCTTGGTTTTCCGTATGCAAAAATAAAAGTTTATTTAAACAATAATTAGCAGAATGTGGTGAGTTTCCGTTTTCAATATCATGTACTATACTTTAAATTAATTATTTGCTTATCTATTTTATCTAATAACTTGCAATCAACATCTTGATTGAAGAAAGTCTCGAAATCTTCATGCGCCATTAACAGCTTAATAAGTGTTTTTGCATTGTTTCTAAAAGTTTATTCAAAGTTCATATTCAAATTAATACTTAACTTGTAAAATTGTGGCTTTTTAGAAAAAATTAAATACCTTGTTTCGTAATTACCATCAATAATAAATTTAGCCAATACTACAAATATTTTACGTCGAGTATCCTTTAAATGAAGTGATAAAAAGAATGAATCCACACCAATCAATTCTACGATTGTTATTAGAAGTCGACTGACGGTAGATCGTACTAATGGATTTTTGTGACTATAAATGAATTATTTCAATTATTATAAGGAGTTACAAAAAATTTATTATTATTTACATGTCCTACCCTGCTGCCGACGTGATTGCGCGAGTGCAGTGAGATACTGGTATATGGACTATCATGGTATCCAGAGCTTTATTAACATCATGTCGTACAGATTTATTCATATGTGCAGTTTTTTGCAGAAGTATGGCTACCAATTCGTCAAATTCGGGTCGTTGAGTACACTTTATTGTTTCAAATAATTCCATAGCCACTTTAGAAGCTGTTCTAACTATATGAGGTCGTGTGTTTCTCATTAAACTATTAATAGAAAAAAATGGTAAATTAGATTAATAGACGGAAACACTACTAGTACTTAAATTATATTTTAGTAAATGTATTTATACCTGCACAAACTTCTATTGATAAGTGACATATTTGGATCAAGCATTTCTGGATAGTATCTTGATATTTGAATAATATCTAAAATAGCTTCGGTACTACTCTCCCACTGGTTCTGTTTTAATTTCGCAATTGATTGTCTTAAAACTTCATGAGGATTATTTATCCTCTCTAGTGGCCCTAGCAAGTCATGCTCAACTGTTATAGAATAATCTCCCATGATGCCAGTAAAGTTGCTTTCCTTAGACTTGCTTTTGATGTATCAAAATGTGTAAAGAAAGTATGTCTTATTATGTTTACTGTGTAGTCATTATAATACAATAACATGTATCTTGCTATCTAACTTAATACATGTGAGGTAATGATGGAAGATGCACATCTCCAGCAGCATTAAATTGAGAAATTTGGACAGCTTCATTTTTTGAAATGGATGAAGAATTTATAGACTGTAAACTCATAGGTGGTAATCGCAATGTTGGCTTTACATAATTCGTTGGTACCTTATCTTTTCCACAAACGCCTACACGTCATTGAACTTTTCATTAGAATTCAAATGTAAGCAAATGGGGTTAATTAAAATATTCATAATATTTCATACCTGTTCCATTGCACATGGGACATAGAAACTTCTCTGATTGTGTAGGTAGCATAATTAAATGCTGGAGTAGTACTACTGAAATATTCTTAAATGATTCCTTACACAGAGAAAGACGTATATATAACAAATAGAATTTATTTATTTATAATTTTGGGTTGCCATTTTTTTTAACAACAGAGCATAGGTCGTTCGCTTAGTCGTTCGAAATATGTGACGATTATTATTTATTAATAAAATAATAATGAGTATGATAAAATTGAAGTAGTCAGAAACTATCGGTTCAAATAATATGCATATATTGCAACTTACATCGGCACATGGTCTTAAAAAAATAAAGTAATTGTAAATCTATGGTCAGGCTGCAATATCAATGCCATGTTAGGTTATTCTCATTACCAACACTTTCTGCACTTTCCAAACATTGCAATTTCTAATTGGATGATATTTTTAAGTAACCAATGAGAAATTGCTCTTTTTGAAAAGTGCAGAAAGTTTGGTAACGAGAACAAACCTATTCAGAGGACTCCTTTACACTATACAACATTTGGAAATTAAAATCCTCAAATTAAAATCTATTTCATATCTTAACTGTTCTTAACCATTCATGAATATGGTCATTACTGCACATACATCATAAAGGATATCTTTTGACCGTCTTGTGGACCATTTTATCTCATAAAAATCGCTTTTTTTCAATAACAAGTATTAGCACTAAGAAGATTACTCTTTTCATTATAATTAAGTCGCCGAAGTCTTATTGTATGGAAAAGTAGACGGTCTTCAGCTATCGCAGACATTAAAGATAAATTTGTATTACTAACCTAGCAGACCCGGCGACTGCGAAATTCACCACCGTTTTACGGTGGTTTCCACTACAATGGTTTTGTGCAAAAAGTATACCAAACATTTTGTTCGAACCACTACTCAAACCACCAATCGTTTCCACCATCAAAATCACCATCTTAAAGCTGATTTTTCGGATAAAATACTTGGTATACGCTTTGCACAAAACCACCGTAGTAGTTTCAAAGGTGGTAGGGTCTGCTAGGGTACAAGTGGAAAAATACGTTTCAGTCCATTTCAGCGCAAACGCTATCACCAGAGTTTATGTATTACACAAAATTTTATACTATAGTTGTCAGGAGAGCGTAATTGCGCTGAATACGCACATTTAAAATACCGTTGAAATTGATAAATAAATAAATTATCCGCCAAATATGTAATCGCATTGGACCTAGGAATATATAAAATTGCGTATCACGACGTGTTTGTACGTGCATCAGTAGAATCACAACGTAAAGGACAATGATGATAAGATACAGCACTAGCATGACCTGATCTGCCTGATGTCATAGGCAAACCTAACGTCCAAATATCCTGAGTTGGATCATATATTTCTACTATGCTTAAAAAGTTCGTTCCATCGTAACCACCTGAAATATGGCAAATATCAAAGAATTTTTAATAAAGTTTTTCACAAAAACAAAGACTAAGAAATGTACTTAAAAAAACTTACCCATGGCATACAATTTTCCATCCAATACCGTGACACTGAGCGCACTCCTTGCTATACTGATATCCTTAACGAATTCCCAGGTATCATGTTCAGTATCGTAACGTTCGACAGAACTTAATTGTCTCGTCCCATCATATCCTCCTATGACATATATATACTGTCCTAAGCTAGCAACACCAGCACCAGACCGAGCACATGACATTGGAGCTACAATAGTCCATTCATCATTTTCAGGATGATAACATTCTATAGAACTTAATCTTTTTGTACCATCAAAGCCACCAATTGCATAAAGTAACCTGTTCGTCATAAGTAGAAATAAGATAAAATAATGAATAGATAATAATGGATATTCTTGATTATTCTATTATTCGAGGGTGGTGGAACTACCTATTGACTACAGCAACGCCAACCCCTAATCTTTTAACATGCATTGGTTTAATGCTGGTCCATAAATCTTGATCTGGGTCATAACATTCCACGCTACTGTGATATTCAGCACCAGCACTACCACCTACTGCATATAGTAAACCATCCATTACTGCCACACCTACTCGGTTCCTTGGTACTGACATAGGACTACAAGGCCGCCATTGATCTATTGCGGGATTATATCTGTCTACCCAATCACTGTCATATCTGAAATGTTAGTATTTAGTCTTTAAATAATCCTTTAAAAAAATCAAATAAAAATAAAAAATGCAGCTACATAAGTTTCGGCTATTCTTTTAAGAACTTTTCATAAGTTACTGACCTGGTACCAGGAGAGTTGTTTCGACCACCAACGGCGTAGAACATCCCTTTGAGAAATGCTCCTCCTAATCCAGATCTTGGTACAGTCAGTTTTGCATGTTGTACCCACGATTTGTCGTCAGCATTATAGCCTTCGACAATGTCAAGAGAATTTCTTAAAAATCCGCCGGCAATATATATTTTTCTTGGTGTATTGGGTGTCCTTTCTTTAACAACAGGTTTTTTGTGAAGCGTTAAGTCCTTAAATATTTGCGCCAAATATTCCCGACAGGCCGGAACCTTTTTCAAAATGTCACAATTCTTCATCTGCTCTCTCAAGAAGTTTGGTGTTAGATATTGACAACGAACTGCGTGCAATATATGTTCCATTTTCGGACCCCTGGTTTCCTCGTTATACTTAACCCATTTTAACACAGCATTGTACACTTCTCTTTCCTCTTGCACATTAAGTTCATCTTTTCTCACAAGCGATATCAATTGTATAGCTGATAGTTGTAAGAATTCTTCTTCTTGACATATTTCATTAAAATGTTGAACGATAAACTGATTTGCTTTACGGTACAATTCATGACAACCATGCTGCTCAGCGAAATTCGCTATTCCTATAGCATTTGTTGGATCCAGTTGTCTTTCCAAAAAGACACAACAGGCATCAATAACATTGCTGACCTATTATAGATAGGAAATTAATAATTCTTATTCTTAAGTATTTATTATTTCATAAAATACACACCTGGAACATTGTAGCAGCTGGGAGTAATGAGCACACGGTTACTTCAGTAACTCGTATTTCACCAGTATACATGAAGTACATCAAACGAGCCATAGCTGTAGGACACACTCCCTGCAGCTTCACCCTGGTCATTTCACATTCCTTTAGACCACCCGTAAACATTGCCTACAATTTGTTGATGATGCTTCTAATAATATAAGATTGCCTACATGAAGATGGCAACGAAATGTCTAACAGTATACAGGATTTATTCCCAATGGATTTTAAACTTATTGTCCATAATTTCAGGTTATTTTTTGAATGCTCTTAAATTTGATATTAAAAATATTGAATATTCAAGTGACTTCTACTGTGTTTTAACTGTCATAGAATAGTATATATATATTTACCTTGAAGTAAGGACTAGCAGCAGCTAAAATAACTTTGTGTGCATGGAATAATTCACTGCCAACCTCAAGAATAATGTCAGTCAGCATATGATGGCTGCGCATCATAAACATCATCCTCATAGCTTCCTTTACATAATTGGCCATACAAAATGTCATGTCGCCAAGATCTCCATGCTTCCCTATTTTGATAGAACTTTCCCAATCTTTTTCAGCATTAAGAATGGGAGAGGCATTTCCACATGTTGGAATGTCCATGTACTCATAATTTGGACTTTCACTATGATGTTCTCCTTCGCCCTGAATATACTCCTCTTCGCCATCCATGAAGATGATCTTTATTAAAGCTGTCGATATAAGGTTATGACATTTTACAATATTATTAAAGACTTCTGGCACTCTAAAAGTTTTGATTTAAGAAATATATACTTCGGAGAAGTCACTTCTATCTAACAATAGTTTAAATTTAATATTATTATATAAAAATTATAATACTTCTTCATGTAATGACAACAAATATGTTAAATAGACTTTTTAAATATGTAAAAAATTTACGATTAAAATTGACACCTATTTAAAGTCTAATAATGTAAAGGTAAAATATATTACAAGCTATGAACTACCTTCTTAGGTATCACCAGTGAAACTTCAGATACAATAGATGAAAATGTTCACACAACCTCTTTGCAGATTATGTTTGCAGTTTGGCAGAGAAACTTTTATGACCATAATCCGGAATATAAACAAAATATATATTAACGTCAGAGAGAAAGTCGTCTTGTAGAAAATTCTACAAGTTTACCGATGAACTGTTAGACGCACTATCACCATAGGTCACCAGTTTTTTTTAACAGAAGACACGACTATAGAGACGATGATGAAGTTAAAACATTATTATAATTACGTTATTCAATCAACTATTCATTTTACAGCCGATTTTCCAAAGTGGAAAAGAAGTCCAAAATTTATTTCAATGAATATAAAAACCGAGGAGATATTGGTAAAGGGAGTTAGCTTCCGTGTATTCTGTCTGAAATGAAATGTATGGCATTTTAACCCTCTCCTGATTTTCTATACTTGTCCTACCTTCTGTACCCACTAGCCGTTAGGAAATGCTGGTTCTTTTTATCAATATCTCCTCGGCGATATCAGCGTCGAATAACAAGACCCTAATGGCAGTTTCACAACACGATATGCCAATCAATATCATCAATATCAATACATCACTGCACCAAAGGCAGAGTCGAGCAGTCAACTCTTCGTGTTTCCTGAACTGTGAATAATGTACATGTAACATATTCAAAGTCAAGCTGCATGCGCACAAAAACAAAACAAGAAGATAATCTCGAGAAACAGCAGAGGCACAATGGCCGCACGGGTAACGATTCTATCGTTAAAAACTGTTCACGTTGACCACTAATGAACAAAGTCATGTGTTCTAAGATGACTTTACATTAAAATGCCCTTTCTTTACCGTACATCGATTCCAATACACTTGCCACTATCACAAATGAAGGTTTAAAAAAATCAATTGATCAAGGTTTCTTCTTTTTCAATACTGGCTATCAGACATTATTCCAAGTGGTTAAGCTCTCCGGCCTCGAGCTGCATGACTACTGAGGAATTATTTTTTGAAAGTCATCCTGAAGCTGCACTTTCGTCGCTCAGTAAGTACGTTTCGATGTTACGACCGTACCATACAGACTACATACCGGTATGTGGAGACGGTGAGTCGCCAAAGATAAGATTCGTATATTCAAATTTCTTTGGCGATGTAAATAATGCTAATATGACAAGTACCTATAGTGCCAATCTAATAGCCAGGGAGACAATCTAAAATTTTGTGATACGTATGTATTTAATAATTTGTATAATTTTGTGATAAAAGCACATTCAAACACCCTAGATTTGAATGAAATTATTCTTAACAGTAACACATTATGTACGGTTTATGTAGTCATGAAGCAAATACTATCGACGATAGTAGTGATGCAAATTCGTTTATATTTATATCTGTTCGAAACAATGTACTGACTGTATCAGTTTTAACCCGTCAGGAGGTACGTCATTTGTAGCGTTTCACAATCACTACTGCGTCATTTCTATCTGTACGCTGAGTCGTGTCTGGTCGTGTACGTAAAAGAAATGCCCATAACGTGCCCTTTCACATCGTCTAAAGTTCCTTCCAAGCCCTGATAAAGAAAACTGCAATGGTTGCTAAACAACGGCAAGTTAAAACTTCCAGAAGCGACTCCAACCCGGAAGCCAATCACGACCATGTGAACAATGGTCGCGAAAGTGTTTAACTATAAATTATACATATATTATATTAATTCAACTTGACGCAACGGCTTGCGTTACAAAGCACACATCCAGCAATTGCGAAGTAAGCATTTCGCCAATGTCCGTTTCAGGAATGTAATAGTTACATAAATGACTAATTTGATGAATTACATCTCTAATTGTAAGTTGGACATCTTTATATCGTCGTCACAAAATCGTTATATTGTGTTTGCTGAATTCAGATTGAAGAGAATGAATATTTTTTTCGAGTAGCGATAAATGTATAATGCACAAATTTAAAATCTTGCGCGTGATTGGTTAATTCTGTGTAAATCTTGTACGATGTAAAACGTAGCCAATGACGTGAACGATTGTCTTTCGGATTAATGTAAAATGACGTAAAGTCAATAACATCAATATGACGTACGGTTTTGTGTAGAAAAAATGTTAAAGAAAAAGTTTTAGTCATAAATGAAATATTGGTGTAAAAAAGAATTACTTTTGAGACAATATAATATTTATTTCGTAATAATATGGAGTTTTCATCAACAATAACAGTGTAGTAGTAGGCGTAACAAGAGAGACGAGGTAGGTTACGAGGAACCTAACCTGATACCGTACGCCAACAAGTCACCATGGTAACAGTTAACGCTTCCCCTTGAAACTATGGTCTCTTTTTGTAAAAATGATTAGCTTTACACGGCACACTCATCAGACTTAAAATTGCAAAAGCATATTATAATATAGTCATGCTGCATTGGCAATAAACTGAACACGGTGACTGAGCCCCAAAATATTGTACTTGACCGTAATTTCTTGTATCCTTTATCACGTTCACAATGTCACTAAAAGCACGCGATTTTTTTTTAAATTCAAATTATCCATGTACGGTCACGTTCGTTTGAGGGGTTCAGAAAAGACTTCCTTTAACCCATTCACTATTCACAAAAATGATAACACTCTCCGTTGTTCCACTTACGAATAATCACGTTAGTTAAAAAATCCTCTCGCAATCATGTACGCGCCACGCGAACTATGTACGCTTATTAGCTAATATTCAATAACAATACTAACTGGCAGGTATTTGAAAGCAATGTTTAAACTTCAAATGATGGCAGTGCTTTGTAGAGAGTAGAATAATATTTAGTCGCCATTAGTAAATGGGTTAAAATTACACGAATCAGTGAATGACACAACTACATATAGTTAATTCATAAATTATTCCAGTATACTTTCATGGAAGTTTAATACACTCGGTTCAATTTTAATGTGTGCGTTTGCTTGAGAAATTTCATTCTCAATTATGATTTCACGTCTAGCCTACTATATAGTAGTACTAACAACGAAAGTATATATGTATACTTAAATGTCTTTCAAAAAGCGGGGAGAGCGCATGCGTTTCAATAATAATTTCTATTTTCTCATTTCGTATCACTCCATTAGTTTTTCGCTATTAGCTTATATAAAAACGAGGATAAATATTTATTATAGCATTGCCGTAAACAAGATTTTCAATGGTCATACCTTCTTGAACTTTCTTTAAATAAAAGATGATTTCGGAATTCATACTTATATGAATCTTCGTTAACGGAATTAGACGCAGAGACGTGAAGATATAATTTCAAGAGTCAATACATTATTATATTATAGTGATACGTGAAAAGGAAAGAGAAGAGCGGGTACACTGGAAGACCAGACGCTAAATATAATATTAATCGATAAACGCGTTAATTTTGTTTGGAGAGTTCAGGACGGAAGAGTTGAATCATGTATTAGATAATTAATATAGGCCGTCATATCGGTTCAAGGCTCTTGAAAGCAGGGGTGAAGTATAAGAAATTATACGAATAATATGGTACCAGTGATGAGCGATGAAGAGGAGTGATAAAGCATTGGGGCAAAAAGTGTATATTATTATGGATACTGAAAGTAAGAGGGAGACGGATTTATCGGTCGGTCAGGTACCATTAGCTCTCGCCTCTCCATGTAACGTCTCGACTATACAGGCTCTTGTTGGCGCACAAATAAGGTGGGAGATCGACCTTTGATTCAGAGCAGCAGCCCTGCATATGGAAATACAGCAAGTGGCGTGCATATTTACAAGGAGTTTCATTAATAGATGTAGTAAAGTCGCGAACGATTATTAATTTTGTTTTTCTTCGTCTTTCGTACTTATTTGTTCACTTTAATTTACTAAAAATCAAAAGGAAACACCAAACAGCCACTTAACTAAATCACAGATAGATCCCGCCTGCCCAAGTATTATTATAGCTAAAGTTAGTTTAGTAAGTCTATCTTTGATTTCCTTAGGCTCGGGTGACTCTAGACTGGCCCCCTATAATTTGTATTTTGATCACTCCTTAATTAATTGCAATATCAATCGTCTATTTCTTGTCTACTAGAAGAATGTAATTTTACTTTAGACGTTGAGTATGCAATATACCTCTTCCTCATTGACGTTCAATATGTCTCTTGAGACTATATACTTTGGATATACAGAATTTTAGCTTTTATCTCCTTCCTTTTCTTCGAATGACACGGTGCTATAGAGTCACGTTACTATCTGAAATCTGTGAAATTACAGTGCTTTGCGCATGCGCATCGTTAGAATAGATGCGTCGTAAAAGGCGGGTCTTTTGAATTTCTCCGGTAATTTCTTGGGACACACTTTCATTATTAGTTGTCGGCTGTACCACCACTAACATGCAGTAGAACGTAAATTTATTATCGCATACGACTACTAACAAAGACAGTAATAGTCTAAACTACCGAAGTTAAATAGTAATTTGGTTATTACGTATAACCCACTCAAGATCCAAGCGTCTTCTACTAATATGCTGTACGCAACAGAACGAATACGATATATACCCACAGGAACCTACTGCTTATAACTTTCGAGAATTTAATGAATTTCTCTAATACTCTCTAACGAATTAAATAGCTATATCGCTATATAATATAATATTGTGAAATATTTGAGTACGATAAGGCTAGTAAGTAAAGTATTGGGCGGATACGACTACTCCTAAGGCCTCGCTTATGAATCATTTAAACTTAATTCTTTAATTTAGTCCCATGCATTCGCTATAATAGTCTCTATGTTAAATATAGTAGGAGTAAACAATTTATTTCTTTTTATTAATTTTTTTTTACTTTTCTTTGTCGATTCATTCGATCGAAAGGATTCCAAAGTTTTAAAGTCAAGATAACGCGTATTTAATCTATCTATATATCGTTTTTCTCAATTCCAGTAATATTCCACAGACAATTCCTATACAATGTAATATCATTATTCAGTCTAACAGATAATGTGTGTGCTTCCTAAGATATCTCTAATAGGGTCAGTACCTACGGATTTTCTACTGGCTTATATTTTTTTTATTCTCTCTCTTTTTTTTTTATATACGACTTGTGAAGGTGCGAGCGTTATATAGTTTTGTTGTCTGCTCTTATTGCTCCTGCAATTTCTTTCAATATTGAATCCCCCGCAATCGGTACGAAAATGACGCAAATATTTAATGTCTTTTTACTTAATTTTTTCCCCCTTTGATAGACGTAATAAGTATAAGGTTACGCGTACTTTTGTTTGTGGTCATTCTACGCCGATAGCCTGCATAGCGAGCCTCTCCTTCCACAATCACAAGCATCCTTAAGGTGGCAGCACGCGGTTCGATTCAGAAAAATTCAGTGGACCAAAAATCTCTCAATCTATTGTTTGTCGAGTACCGTCTTATGTATCTTATAAATGGTTCACTGTCATGCGCAATTCATTACAGAGAATACAAGAGAAGAGAAGGTGTTAAAGTAGCTAATTCGTCAGCCTTACTCCTTCTTATAGATTCTAATTCCATCGCTGTTACACGCACAGAGCTTTATTATGCAAGCACTAACTACTTAGTGTTTATTATACCAATACGTCATAAATGATAATTAAATGGGGAAAATACGAGAATATTTGCACACGGGCTCGTAAGAGAAAATCGAAATGATTCATATATTTGCGCGAAAAATAAATTGAGCCTGCTTCCCTAGGTTTTCATCATTGCTTAATAATTTTATAATAACAAGCGTGCGCGATAACGATAGACTCACGTGCTACGATAGTTTGCAGACTGCTGATAAATGTATTATTCAAGCAAGCAATTCCATTGTTCGTTTTCAGTCATTACTTCTTTTGAAACGGACTCTAAAATTTAGTTTGAGAAATACCGTAGTAGACATTACATTTTCTTTTTACCATTGCAATCGAAAGAGAGACTCACCCGGGCCAGCGGTTTAGTGTAGAGTTAAAATGCCAACAAGAAAATATCTTAATATTAAACGTACGTGCTACGTCACTCGTTAAGATATTTCTACGAAAGTTTATAGCACTATTTTTCAATATATTCTAAATTATCAATGTACGTAACAACATATGAACAACCAGAGGGGTCTCTCGTTTATGACGCCCTCCTTCGTCACACGATCCTCCAAGGCTGTCTATTTCTTAAAAACCTCTTTTAAACTGTGTCAGAACTGTTCCTCTAGAAATTGACCTATTATTCTGATATTGCTTAAAATCAATGAAAGCCCCTCAGAGGCAACGTGCCTCTAAGCTTGTCGCTTTTAAAAACTCTTACCGAGAATTAGCAGTCTATCAAGGAGGATGTAGATCACGATGATGTGCTCTGGCGGTTAGAATTGCCTTCAATTCAGATTCTAATTGCTTTTTAGTGCGTTCGCTCACCGATTTTCCTCCGATTACAGGCTGAACCGTTAATCTTGGCGAAGGTAGATCTGCCATTAATTTACCAGCCTCCTTGTTCTCGTGGCTTCGTGCTCGGCGTATAGGTTTCTTCACCGGTAAAATCTCATCTTGACTCTTCTGGTGGTCAGCACGTTCAATTGTCAGAGTAGTTTCCTGACTGAGAGTAGTGGTCGAGCCCAATCCAATACCCTCCGAGGATCTTCTCAGATCAATCGTTCCGGATCCCCAATCTCTTGATAATTTTCGACCAATCGCTGAAGTCAACTCGCTATTTGGGGACAGCAGAGGACTCTTAGACACTTGATATCCACCAGAGGGTGGAGGCCTCAGGGTCGCGAATACTGGAAAAGACTGTCCTCTCTTTGCAGGACTCCGAGAGTATTTTGATGTTGGCGCACCGCCTCCAAGGGAGTCTCCTCTTATTGGTGCAAGAGGTCGTAATGTGGCACTACCACCCAAATGAGAGCCAAGACGTGGTGGTGAACCGCCATCGCCGTGGCTCAGTCTGCGACCTACGGTGTCCAATGGACTTCTGGCTCTAAGATTAGTACTGCTCAAAGTGAATTCTCTTGGTTTCATAGGAGCCTCCAGGCTAACAGGAGATAATCCAAGTCTTGAACCTGAAAGATTTGTCGAGCTTCGACTTTTCTCTGATCTTTTTGGACTTCGTGGCATCAGCGGACTCTTGCTACGACTTCTTTCTCTTCCTTTAACCACCTTCTCCTCCTTCTTCAATGGCCTGCGAGCTTCCGGTTCCTTTTGCTCGGCATCCACTTTTTCCTCTTGCTGAACTCTGGTAAGATTCATACAATTTATTTGAGGTTTGGTACATTACATCGATCATTAACTTTATGCTTACCTTCGAATTTCTTGTATCATCTCAAAAAACTGGGCCTTACTCTTACGTCTGCGACGTTGTTCGTGTTCCTTCTGGAACAATGGACCTTGCACATCCCATTGGACAAAATAAGGACACGTGGATCAATCGACAACTACTACTTACCCGCTTTACACTTTTTTGAAAGAGGGATGTAATTTGGCCTTGTCTCACAGTGTGTACAAGTTCTCTGGCAGCATGGTGAGGTGATACTAACTCTACGCAATTAATAAATCTGTAGAGCTTTTGAGAGAAGAACATTACGTTGCGACTGCGCCAAACCGAACTCTTTGGTCTGTGTCTCAATCTAGGCAGTGTGTATCTGTAGAACAAGTGTTCACCAGCAAGGATTATTGCACCCAACATAACACCCATGCCTAGTAAACAAAATACTCCAGCTACGGATGCCACTCCTAGCGGACGAGGTTGTCCACCTTGTTCAGGCTCTAAACCTGCATCCATTCCTTCTCGTCCTCTTATGCAAGGTAATCCACCGTACCTAAATACCGCATCATATTGTATAAATTCAAAATAAATATTAGCAACATAGACTCAGATTGATTCTAAGTCTTACCATTTTTCCTGCAGAATATCGAGTAGCCCATTGCTCGTATAATTTGCTATGACTTTGGAAATGCTTTCTTTAAGAGGATGTCCCTTGGTCAATGCTACGGCGTAAGTGTCTTCGTTGATGGCGTCACCGATTTTTTGTAGTCGGCAACCATTGTCAGTAGCGCGATAATAATCGAGAATGGGAGTGTCGGCTATCAAAATGTCCAGACTGCCATTTGTCAATCTCTCTACTCCCTCGGCTACATCAGACAATGAGTAACGTGCCATGTGTGACCATAATTGTTTATTAGCTCGTTGTACATAATATTCAGCTGCAGATGCTCTGGGCGCGCCAACTCTCTGTGATAATAACTGAAATGGATATAATGTATTATCGACACGTAAAACAGAGAACTCTCGTATATCAATTATTATTCAGTGCTGTCAACGGAGAGAAGGAATATAGAAAATTCATAATCGAGCTTTTTGTCTCTTTTCTTTGATACTTACACTCCGGTCATGATAGTTGTTAACAGCAGAGTGGAAGAACAAATCAGCAATCAAGGCTGCTATGTTTGCTGTATAAGAAGCAACGAAGATGACAGAAAAACCACCCCAAACGTTGATGAGAAACTTGTTAGGCCAAGATTTTGGAGCTTTAAAAGCAACAAGATGACCGCACAGAAGACCCCACATAACCCAGAGGGCGGAAGCTATAGAGAAGTTCTTGCTTCTTTGTCTGCCCCATGGATTTAATCCAAATGGACTGAGCCATTCGTAAGCAGCTACTGCCATTGCGGTGATATTCAATGATGTGAAAACGGCGATCCACAATTCAGGACTGAACGGCAAAAGGAATGCCAACAGTGAAATTTCCGATCTGAGTTTCGGAGCAGCGAGGAAGCTGACTCCACTGAAAAAGTATGGAGTTGTAAAGTCAATTACTTCTGCTCTTCTGGCAGATACGCTCAATGGTGCAAAAGCAAGCTGTGCTTTTCCAGATACCAATTCCCCAACAACGCCGTTCCACGCGCCACTGCTTCCATTTCTTTTACCAAATAGCCCATCACCTCCCACGTACAGTTCAAATCGAAATCCTAATTCACGGGACACCAGTGACAGCAAGTCTATGGTTAAACCATAGCAGCACATAATATTATTTCCATGCCTGCAGGCCAATCCTCGTAAGCACAAACCCTCTTGTAAACTCGTTGCCATTGAAAATGGAGGTGCCAGAGCAGTTACAATGCGATACGCAGGCATTCCAATTTTTTCTCCACCTTCTCCAAGGTAAGCTGGTACTATCCCACCTCCTGGCCAGATTATAGTGTCGAGTCGTACGTCTTTACCACCTTTGATCGTCCCAACTTTCGTCCACCTGTAGGGAAAATATTTTTTAAAAATTAATTAAATTTATTAAAAGCGTTCATTTAAGTTATTATAGATTTATGAAAGTTTTCTGTACCTCAGCTGTGTTTTATTACCAGGAAATTTGACAGATTGCAAATTTAGTAACTGAAACTCAGCCTTGTCTTTTGATATTTGTCGTATAGACTCCTTTAATCGAGTTGTAAGAGTCCTAGAAACGTTTTCTCTAAATTCGTTTATTAAGAATTTTGAGTTGGGCTGTGTATAACAGGTTGGTATGAAGTAATCCTTTTGCTGACTGTCTCGTAATCGACCCAATTTTGGTTTTAGTTCAACGATACTCTGATCGAATGCTTGTGAAATTTCCCTCAGCATTCTATTCAACAAAGTATCACCACTACCAACTTTCGTACTGGCTGGTCTCAATGCAAGCATCCCCACCGGCATGAAATTCTTGGAGTTTAATCCTTTATCACCGATCTTAATATCTTCTTCATCATCATTCGTAAAACCCCTGTCTTCCCTCTTCATTATGATTCTTTCGGTTTGCCAGCGATACTCTTGCAGTTGATGAATATCGTTAGCTAAGTTTGGCAATGAATGTAAATGCATTTCGGTTTCTGGTATCAGATTTAAATTCCGTTTTATACTCTCTAACGGTGGAGTATTTTCATTTTCCACAATGGACGACCGTGTATTGTGTAAAACATGAGAAGTAATTATATTCGGTTCGTTTGGTCTCAATTCAGCTTTAAGATCCAGCCAGAGCCAAAGAAATCTTCCTGTCAACATCTCATATTTGCTAGCCACAAGAAGAACTTTTCTAGCATTATTTATGTCGCAAGCCATAACTAAAACTCCTCCACTTCCACCTTGCTCCGCAATCCTCCTTAATCTGATTTTCAACGTTTTATCATTAGCTGGCAGATGAATTATGGTTCTGGGCGTTAAATTCTGTCTGTTCGATAACAGAAGATGATGCAAAGGCAATAATGTACTGTCAATAAAAAGAGTAAATGCATGCCAATTAGTCTTATGCATCAATGCAGCTGCGGCTGCCCCAAATTCCTCTGAACCAGAACCCAAACGTATTTCGAATCTCCCGCTCTTTCCCTGTAAAATTGATTATGAGTATATAGTCATATATAAAATGATCTCAATGAGGATACTGATACGCACTTGTCTGAGGAAGTCCCGATGTGTAAATGGTAACCAGAGTGTTGGAATATTTACCGATGCTGCTGCTGTTATCAAAAATCTTGCTGCGGAGCTGCCGCCGACTACGAGTGTTAGGACGGTCTTACCACTCTCAATGTCTGTGCAGAATTTATTCAATAAGGATAAAGGATATGACAGAGAATCGGTCATCAGTGTCATCCTTGCTTCCACGTATGATATTTCCACGTCCCCCTGAGACGACTCTAATCTCGCCTCTTCCCATGCTCTCTGAATATCTGTCTTCACTGGAGCCTGCGGTTGAGTTAGGCATACAACAATACGCCATGGTGCGTGTGCCGTTCTCAAACGGGCCTTCGTCGCTCTGTCGAATTTGTTCGCATCTGCCGTGCCGGACACTCGCCAGCAGAAAAAGATTGCGAACAAAAGAAGAACTACAATCCTCGAAGAGGAGCCGTTCATCTTCCTCGCAATCTTTAAAATTTTCTCTGCTGATCCGTTCTCTAATACACTCGAACTACCTCATGTTTCTGTAACTTGAATCTGATAGAAAAAAAAAAAACACATAATGTCATATATTTCGTATGAACATAAAAAACTCATTAACGAGATTTATACAATTATTTATTAATTTTTGCCTATCATTCCAGAATAAATTCAATTGTTTGTTTAATGTTTATTTGCAGAGAAAAGTAATACCTTTATAATTCTCCATACGATATAGAAATGATTTGATATATATACCTAGATATGAAATTAGGTAATTTCTTAATATTTTTTTTCAATTCTCTATAAAATTAATCATATAACTGATTTTTACGTTAAACATTGAGGGATTACTGGTACTTGTCAAAAGTGGACCTTCCATACAACTGTCTTGGATATTATTGACTGACATACTCTGATAGCTTGAGGCATATATTACACAGTGCAACTCATAAACTCTACTGAGATTTTAATAAAACATTCAAAAAGATTATTCATTGAGTATACAATTTTTTTGTTCTATGTCAACGAGAAGCAATTTACCTTTTGGTAGAACTGACGGGCGAGAGTGAATCCGGCGGAGGTTTCAGTAGAGCACGTCGATTACTTTTTAACCACGGCATAATAACTATCGATTACTTAACTGTGTCAATTATTGTAAAATACTGTGAATTGGTCAATGTGGAAGACAGGGGTGGACCGTCACTTGTCCTCTTTCGGACGTTCTGTTCTGTGTATGACAGCCATTTTCGGGCAGCCCCTCCCTTTAAATTTCAACCCCTATATCACATACAAACACCCACCTAGCCACCCTAATACTATAGACACTTCCAGAGTGGCGCATGTGCCATGTTAAAGAGGTGAACCGTGACGTTATCGCCACCAGCAACCTCTTCTGTTTTTTCGACACTTTTTCTTACTACCAAAAAAAAACCAGACTATAAAGGATTACGGACTCTTGCGCAACAGAACTTGCGACGGTCTCATCTTGTTAGACGGGATGACGTGCTTTTTTCTTTATCTCTTTAGTTATTATGGTTTTTGTCTACATAGACGCTGGCGTGGTAGCAGTTGGTTCTTTGGATATTTTAATGTGAAAAATGATAAAGAATATTCGCCCAGAAAATATCTGCGTATATTTCGAATCTGCTTAATTTACATTGTCTTATATATACATAATGTAATAGCTTTTTGAAGGATAGCCTAAATTTTACTCTCGGAATTAAATAACGAGTTCAGAAACGATATGCTCATCGTTATGAGTTTCTCTCTTGATCATCTCTTTTTTTTTTCTTTTTGCTTATGATACATTATTCTTTATCGGCTATAACTGTAATAACGTTGTTGGAATGCGATAAGGAAAATTATCTTACAGATAGCAGAATATCATTATTTCATCTGATTCCAGCCTATCATAGTATGCGGCTAGGTACTAGTTCTTAACAACAAGTAACAATCTCTATAATTAGCTAAATAGATTTTGTTGAGACGCGTCATTCTCAAAAGTGCTCCAGGCATTATTCAGCTCCATAAAGATTAGTTTCGCTATGTTTTCATTTGCAGTTCCGGCTTGCTGCAACAGAAGAATCAGATATTGCTTTATTTGCCTCGCGTAACAGTGGTTAAAAGATATTAATCAATTATTGCAATTTAAATATTTTTTTAATAAACAAGATATAAATACCTTGTCAGGATGAACAGCGAGACAGGCCTTTCGATAAGCTTTTTTAACGTCCGCAGCAGAAACCAGTTGATGCATCTCATACCGTTGCCATCTGTCAGCCTCAGGCCAAAGGACAGTATGAAGAGAACACAAAAGGGCTCTCAGATTTCCTTTCTTTCCTTCCGTCCATTCGGACACCTTTAATCTATCCGGATCCATCGTCTTTGCCGCTTCTACTTTGCGCATTTGATTTATTGTCTTAGGACTCTCTTTCTCGGCCTTTCGGGAACTGAAGAAATTGTAGCCCTGGCTTCCAAGTAAATCCTCAAACGCATCACCGCCCGTCTTCGTTGGTTTATTATTAAAAAGACTCGAGTCAGCAGCAGCAGCAGAAGCTGTATCGTTCGAGGTAGCCGATTTATGCATACGAGGACTCGAGTGAATTGGAGTTCCAGCTGGAGCTGGACTAGCTGATTGAGGAGTGTTCGAGTCTCTAGGTGTTCCATTCCAACTGGAAGTCAGTCCTGCTCCTAAGGAACCAGCTAGATTTGCAAATGGATCTTTGCTCTGTGCTGCAAAATTCGGTACGCTTGAATTTCGTGGGAAATTCTCTTCAGTGGTTGTGGTGCTGGGACCAGTTGTTTTTGAATTGTTCCAATTTCCTAGAAAGGCGTTAGTACCGGTTCCTCCCAAGGGATCAAAGAGTAAATCGTTTCCTTTCTTTGTTGCAGGTTGCGGTTGCTGGTGCTGTTGTCCGAAGAGTAAGTCGTTCACGTTAACATTGCTAGTGGGTTTCTCGTTTACGCTAGGTTGACCATGACCAAAGAGTAAGTCGTTTGAAACGGGGTCATTGATATTTGATTGGGAATTCGCAGCCCCTTGTTGACTAAACGTCGCGAAACCCCCAAGGAGATCATCTTCATTTTGACTAGAGTTTGAAAATATATCCAATCCTGGATTAACTGTAGGTGGGACAGGAGTATTTGCAGTAGTATGAGTTTCAGGCATTCCAAGGTTCAATAAATCAGCTTCTGCAAACTGATTCTGTTCCTTTTGTTCTTCTTCCTCTTCTTCTTGTTCGTCTGGTCTTAGTGATTCCGTTTCTAAAACATCTTGAACTACCTCAGGAACTGAAGTTGGGGCACTCGGTTCATCAGGCACCTACATAAAAAAAAATTATTTAAGTCATCCTACATCTTACCTCGCCTTAACTGTCAGTTCTTATTACCTCGTCCAGTTCTGTAGTTGTTCTGAAGTTTTCTAGCGTCTCCTCCATTTCTAATGTCGATCCAAACAGTGGATCGGGAGAGGGTTTAGGCGATGAGTCCGCATCCCAAGGTGCGAGAATTGCAGGAGATTTTCCGGTATCCTCATCAATCATCACGTTCAATACAACACGGAATTTTCCACCTATTTCAGGCGCATCGTCCAAATTATGCTTTTCAAATATTAAAGTACTTTCTGTTAGGGGAACATATCCAGTGTGAAAGTATACAGAAGCAATTTTAATTCCCATGACACGCCCCAATTGTTGCCGAGCATGGAACACGACGACAGTAACATCGCCACGAACAGTCGCATCACCCAATATCAGACAAATCTTTCCTTCCATAATGCCAAATAATTTCATCTCGTCGTAATCTGGACGTCGTGTAGAGAAGACGAGAGCCCCGTTGCTATAAATTTCTACATAAGGTCGGCAGCCATCCTTTGCACGCGTGAACAAGGGTACTGGCTGTAGCAGAAGAGAGCGAAGCACTAGGGGCTTTGTGTGCGGAAATACGCCACATGCTAGTAAACCCATATAATTAATACTGCGCAATTCAGAAGGCTGCAACTGTGGAGCCTGACATCGTCTTGTCGTAAACAGTGCTATTGCCTCTTCGTAACTTGCCAATGCACTGGAGTAGAGAAGTAGCGCGCATGCAATAGTAGCACTTGCTCGATTTCCATCCTGAGTGGGAAAACACAGAATTCGAGAAAAGTAGCTCAAAATATCTCTATTGATAATTTTTAAGATAGCATCGAACTTACTGTACAGTATAGAACGACGATATTATTAGCATTAGCATCCAAATATCGAACTATATCCTGGCAAATTTGATATAGGGCGGATAGTAGAGGAGCGTTAGATTCTGCCGAGGCGTAAGCGAAAGAGCAGTCGATGTGTCTGCCAGGAAGTCTAGATACGTTCGGTCGTCCGCGAGATAAATTATATAGCTGAATTCTCGCTGGTGGTGGATGTCTGGCTTGTAAAAAGGCTCTGACATCCTCGACGTGATTGGCGCGATAAGCAGATTCTATTCCATCCGCTGGATACGGCATAATTAGTAGTCGGGACGTTAAGTAGCTTGCATCTAGTTCGGTTCTAGCCATGCTTTGTTGCACCGAATGCATCACTTTGCTCGAAGTGTCTTTCAGATTGCGTAGGATACTTCCGGCACCACCTTTTAACGAACTAAATAGGCCTGTAGGTTGGACTGCCGGAGTCTTGGATATTGTACTCTGAGAAGGAGCAGGTCTTGGGGGCGGCATTGTAGGCGGTGGTGAAGGTCTTGGAGGTGGAGCTGCTGGTGGTGGTGATGGTCTAGGCGGTGGAGGTGGTTTTGCTGCAACTTCTATCTTTGCTGCTTCTCTAGGATCAAAATTATTTGACTCTGCGATTGCTGCTAGACGTTCCAACACCATTGCCGCTGTCAGCCGGTGTAGGGGTGATGTTTGGAGACATCCTTTTACCAGATCATTCAGGCAGTTGAAGCGAGAATTAGGTGATAGGGGAGAATATCTGGCGTTAACAATTGCTAGTTTGTTGCCTAATAATGATAATAAAAACATAATCAATTGTTATTGCTTAAATAGAGTTTCTTATTTTGCTCAACAAGAATGTATACCTTCTGGGAAAGGATGTCGCAGACTAATTAGTGAATAAAGAATGCACCCAAGAGCCCAACAGTCTATAGGTGGACCAATTGGCTCATTATTCCAAGTATCCAATATTTCTGGGGCTCGGTACATAGGAGTAGTGTATTTTGCCATCTGGTCTTCTAGCGTAGCGCGTTTTTGAGCATTCCATGAGGAATCAGGTAGTATTTGTTGAGTAGTGGTGCTTCCAAAATCACAGAGTTTAATCAATCCATCACTTCCAATTAAAAAGTTGTCCAACTTAATATCACGATGAATAAAAGGTTGTGGTTGCTGACTATGCATGTGATGTATGGCCCTAGTTGCTTGATAGGCTATTTTACACACTTGAGCAAGTGTCAACGAATCGGTTGAGGCATTTCGTAGTAAATCTGCCACAGTGCCACCTGGACAGAGCTCTGTGACCAATAAATATTCATATCCTTTTTGGTCTTCACGCTCTAATCGCTGAACACATAAGTACTGGATAATGTTTGGATGACCTGATAGTTTTTTTAATATATCTATCTCTTGAATGATAGTTCTGTTAGCCTCATCATCTACAGCAATTAGTCTCTGTTCAATTTAAATAAGTTAGGATTATTCATTGCCACTTAATATGTGGAATGTTTGTCAAAATATCTTGTACAACAAAAGATGAAATCTGTAATAGATGGTTTATTAATATAGTATACTTACCTTCAAAGCATACTCTTTGCCTGTAGCTATATCTTCCACTGCAAATACTAGAGCCCAGCCACCTATTAAATAATATTTGTAATATATAAAAATATTTAAACCAACGATTCTTTTGATTAAATTTGACATATAATTGACTCTTTTATATGTGTACAGTTTTATAACATTGAGATATAAGATGAAAAAAGACACATTCTGAAGAATAAGTAGAGCAGAACAGTCACAGAGCTTATAATGTCACAGAATTTCTTAAAAAAGAATTTAAGACTAAAGTATTCCTATACACTTGATTTATGATATTATTCTAATTATATACACTATTTATCAGGTAATGTTTTACATTTGTACAAAAATTAAAAAACAAACAATCTGGTGCACCATGAATAGGAAAAAAGAAATAAATTGGAGATTAAATATAACTATGTAATATGCATTTGACTTTGCAATACAAATAGCAAAAAGATTAATCATAAGATAGAAGGGAACAATTATAGCTCTCTATTGTATGTATATATATTATATACATAACAATAATATATATAAACAATAGAAATTGTATACATTTTTATACAAAATATATGTTGCTAATTGTGCTTTACTTTATTACTCAAATCATGATGTTTAGTTAAGTTCAGAAACATTTTAATGATGACATAAATTACGAAAGTATCCTCGACAGATAAAAAATGCATTGTCATGAATAATGCGCGCACAACAAATAAATGACAAAACATGATTTTGACACATGTCAACAAAGAATAAGATTTAAAAAATGTGCGTATATAAAAAATGTGTGAAAACAGAAACAAGTCTGAATAAAAATGAAAGGTGTGTATTTCATAGTCGGAGGAAAATCAAATACCATCGTTGAGTTCTTTTTTGAGATCGACAAAAAAGTAAATCTTTAAAAAGTGGGAGGATTGACAGACTCACCCTCTGCCAGAAGCCTGGTCACCCGAAGTTTCACATTGTTGATTTCTAAAGTCTGACCTACGTACTCGTTTGAGTTAGACCCACCGTTCAAATATCCCAAAGCAGATCTTAAGTAATCCGACATATTCGTTTAAAATTTCCCTTAAAACCACTGGAACGTCCTTTTTGTTAAAGCAATGCAGACAGCCGATGCTGTCCAGCCATATTGGCTCAGTGACGTCAAGCGCTAGACAGTGACGTGTCTAGACGTCGCGCCGTGCCCCAAACCGGTATTGGCGAACAAAAATTATCTTCTGGTACACCAACGTACAGCATCCATCGATCGTCTCTGTGTCCCTGTTATAAACCAGACGACATTACCCCATTAAGGGCCTTTAAATTTTCGTTCAATAGTAATTTTCTAACAGCATCTCTAATGATTACACAAATAATGACTGCTTGCAGAAACTGAAAGGATATTGTGATTAATCAAATTATATTCGATCTAAGTAAGTCTCTTGTATGTACGTTATTGTTTAACATAAAGCAATGCAGTTCATAGTTTTTTGTTAGTCAATTTCACTAGTTTCTTTAATGCATTTTTCAAATGACCTAAAATATAATGTCTCGACTTCACAATTATTTTCTTTAGTACGCGCCTCTGGCATTAGTGTCGGCTATTCTTTCAAAAGCGCATGCGTTTAATTGACCGCGATAAATTCGACACAAGCACATACAGTATATATTGGTATTTGACTTTTTAGTGTGGAGATATTTTGATAAATGATTTGTATTATCGCAATAAGTAAAATTTGTGTGTCAACGCACGCAATTTTTGTATCGTTGTAGAGGACTTATTTGCTAGTGTTGTTATTTTAATTTAAAAAAAATAAACGTAATAAAATTAATTTTACTACGCTTATAGTTGCGTAGACTGCGCAATCGCTGTGTACAGAATTCTCATGGGCGCTTAGTTTCTAATTAGTGTAAAAAGAGAAAGGTAATTTTTTTAGGTTAACTTTGTTAGAGGTTCCTAATGATTTATTGCATCGTTGTAAGACTATATTTCTTTATAATTTTTCTAGCTAACTCCTCATCTGCGTTATATTTATTGAGAGGCAATAAAGTCACAAAAATTACATTAAGAAAATGACAGAGGAGATTGTGAGGTTTTGTAAACTAAGATCTGCCACTGATCCAAATTTTTGGGCAAAGTTTGCTGAATTGAAAATTGATAAGTACAAGTTGGATGACAAAATCAAAATATCACTCTGGGGCAGTTACAGTTTGAATTTCTTTCCTGATGGTAAAACAACTCCATTGATGCTGGATTGTACATCATTTAACGAGTAAATATTTATTGCAGATATTTAAATTTAATAATTGAGTATTACAAGTTATAATTCATATGTGTTTTGTTTTAGGAATGTGGATACAACTTCACATAATAATGGTGTGGCATGTGTTGGTTTTCTAGTTAATACAAATACGTACGATTCTTTTCGGCAAATAAATCCACAGAACTTTATAGATTCAGTGGGAGAATATATATCTGAAGCTATTAAAGATGGTACTGCTTTAATACAACCATGGAAGCTTACATTATTTCTTGTCATATCTTTTGCTGATTTAAAAAAGTACAGATTTCATTACTGGGTTGCATATCCAACTTCTTTTAACATTCCTGAGATGTACTATAAAGAACCAGCACAGCCTGCGACTTTAAGATTTGATGCTAGTCAAATAGAAAAGCTACAAAAAGGCTTTATGGCATTACATAGTCAATGTAAGTGTTTTTTTGCAATCCTGGTATCAGAAAAGGATAACTTGGAAGTGATCAGTTTAGCAAAGGGAGTAGACTACGTTAAGTCAAATGCTAAGGAGAATAATGAAGAAGCATTGGTAAGTTGAACTATTAGTCATAAATACTCTTTATTTATGTGTGCCATTTTCATATCTAAAAACATATTCTATACCATTATACGATTTGCAGGTACACGAAGAGGTGTATTTTGCTATCTATGATCCTTGCATAAGTTCAGAACCTGGATGGCCAATGCGTAATTTACTTTGTCTATTATGCTGGCACTGTCCCACTTTTTACTTTGAGCAGGACATTAAAATTCTTTCCATGCGAGGATATAATGCGAAACGCGCAATTGTGTATACACTGAAGGCCAAAGAATATCCTAATAAGGAAACAATACAAAAAGCAATTTTCGATGGTCGTTTTGTGGGTTGGGAAGCTAACTCAAACCGTAAAATGGGACCTAACATTGCTGATTTATCAGACACTATGGATCCAGTCAAGTAAGTTGTTCAACAAAAAATTAAATGCCTATCCTTTATAATGATATTAATGATAATAAATAATTATTTTATTTTGTATAACAGATTGTCAGGAAGGGCAGTGGATTTGAATTTGAAACTCATGAAATGGCGATTGGTACCTGATCTCGATTTGGATGGGATCAGTAAATTACGTTGTCTATTGCTGGGTGCTGGGACATTAGGATGCGCCGTAGCGAGAGTACTACTTGGTTGGGCAGTGGGTAACATCACATTTGTCGACTCGTCTGTGGTGTCGCATAGTAATCCCGTGCGTCAAAGTCTGTACACGCATCAGGATGCTGTACAACGACGTTATAAGGTTCACGCAGCTAAAGATGCTCTTCTTCAAATCAGGCCAAACATGGTAGGTGTGATGCTGAACTCGAATTTCTTTGGGCTTTAGCATACGTCGTTTCTATACTTGTAAGACATGTTCTTTGAATGTAATTGATCTGAATGCACCTTGATGCCCCTATTATAGAATGTGGACGGTGTGGTCTTGCACATTCCAATGCCCGGCCACGTTGTGGGACAAAGCATGATGGAAACGACTCAAAAGGCCATAAAGAAGCTAGAAGAACTGGTAGTACAACACGATGTCGTTTTTCTACTTTTGGATTCTCGTGAAGCTAGATGGCTACCGACTCTTCTGTGCGCCGCACATAATAAAATAGCAATCAACGCAGCACTTGGATTTGATTCTTATACAGTGCAACGTCATGGTACTCGCAATCTTTCCAATCCTGTCTCTCCTGATTTGACACTCCAGAATCCAACCGGGCAAGATCTTGGTTGCTACTTTTGCAATGACGTAACTCAACCGGGAAACGTTAGTGGATGCATTATAACAGATGACATGATAATTTAGCACAAAAGCCATAATAATAAAATCCTGTTCTAGTCGCAGATCGACAGGACTCTTGATCAGCAGTGCACAGTGAGTCGGCCAGGATTGGCACAGATAGCTGCAGCACTTGCAGTCGAACTTATGATAGCTTTAACTCAACATCCTAAACGGTAATTAAAATAATGATAGAATTATCAAATACTTTCGAGCTTCTAATTATAACTTTTTTCGTATGATATTACAGAGCTGAAGCAAGAGCTTTAATGGATAGCAGTAGAGATTCATATTCAAACAAAGAAATAACGGAAGAGGGTCTCCTGGGTGGTCTGCCTCACACAATACGTGGATCCCTTTGGAGTCACGAAATGCGATTAACGATAACACATAGATTCTCATCGTGTACAGCATGTTCAACACCTCTCATTAATGAATATCGAAGTCGGGGATCCGATTTCATTTTGGATGCTTGCAATCAGCCAAATTATCTTGAACGTCTAGCTGGACTTGAAGAATTACTCAAGCGACCTGACTTGGATGAGGTAAAACAAACAGAATTTTTTAAGGCTATTAGTGTTAAAAAAAATAAATCTTTATTATACATTATAACATTCATCTTTTTACAGCTCTGTTATGCAATTGATTCGTCAAGCGAGGATGAAAAAGAAAATTTGACGAAAACATCAACTTGAAGAAGTATGATTTACATCTAAAATATTTATGTAAGTTATGCTATACTCTTTAAATAGTTTGGCGAATGTACTTAGTAAAGAAGGATCAAAGCCAAAATACTGCTTCCTGATAAACGTACCGTATTATTGATAAAACAGTAACTATTATATGACGCAATTTCTATATTCGAATGCGTATTTATAAGTGTATTTTGACATGCATAATGATATATGTACATGTACTTTAAAAATCAGATATACGAATATCTTATATCTGATGTACGTTATCGTCGTACCACGACTCGACTGAATTTATAAAAATTTTAGATACAAAGTTTATAAACAGCACATGCTTCCTTGAAGATTAAAATATTTTTTATCTAATATCATTTACCGAGCACATTCCTCATGACAACCGTGCATTATTCAAGAATCAATTTTCGTTTCATTATATTTTCAAGTTTGCACTTTTTCTCGTCTATATGTATTACATAGCATAATTAATATCTAATTAATTTAATATCCTATCAAACTGATGTGTGAAGAAAAAAAATAAGATCCTAATAATACTCCGAATTCAACAAGATAATATAAAAAATAAGATTCATTCAGCATAATGCCGCCTTTTTCCACATACAACTCCGAATCAAGAAACAGGATAAAAGAATGTTCACATCAAAAACGACATTCATTGCTATTTCGAAGAGCTCATAGTAACATGTTCTATGCCAGTTTCTCTCGCGCACGTGACATATCAAATAAAAATATAAAAAACTAAAAGTGACGTGTGTTTACGTCGTCAAAGTAAGGATAAAACTTGGCAAAAGTTTAAAATGAAACAGTGAGCATAAAAGCAAAGAGTAAAATTTATCTTTCAGCCCTGTTTCTCTGCCAGGATCACAAAGTGAAGACAAAGTGGCAGGTTTCGAAGAGTTTGAGAAAGTGAACCGCGTCAACTTAGTGCCTAGTGGATCGCACGTGCTGTGAAACGTATTGGGAGATGTTGAAACAAATCCTACAGTATCGAGTCGTCGGCAATCGTCGTCTTGGAGATCGCGCAGGACTTTAGACCATACTTGCGGGGACTGGCATATGCAGGGTTGGCAATTTTGCCTGTAGAGTGCGTCAGGCGGACGAATGCCAGGCATTCCAGTATAACGTACAAGTGGTGGGGACCAAACCTACCTCTTGTGTCAAACAGGCCGTGCTCTGTGTGTCCGCCCGCATACCATTAGATTTTCATCGTTTTCAATGAAAATACAAGCAGTCTCGGGACTCGATAAGTACGAAAAGACCTCATCGAAAAGTTAAAGTTGAGTTTGGACGAGTGTCAACCCAAAGGACAGGTGAGTCTTGTAAGAGAGAACACTCGCACTTGAGGAATGCGTGCCTTGCTTTTTTTTTTGTTACGCTACGCCGCATTCCTTTATCGATTTGTACGGGGAACGGACATGCTAGCAGGATGTTCGCAACTTAGGTAAATTGCACGGTTCACTCGACAATCAGAGGCCTTGATATTATATATTCCAGTTTCGAGGTAACTTCTTACACTTTTCTTTCCTCCTGCCATTCGAAAAAACTTTGAGTGGAGTTCGCCGTGTCTTTCCGTGGGAGCGGGTTTTGTCTACGTATGTACGAAGTGTTTACGCGTAACTGCATCACTTAATATTTCTTTTTATATTAACTTATAACTCACTTTTGGTCAATTTCATTGTATATTTTTCATCGTTTTTTTTGTAACAAACGTCAATGATTTTTCGAAAATTCTACGAATGCTCCAAGCTTAAGTTTTTCATCGGAGACACTAATATATTCTCTTCATAAAGTATAGATTTAATACTGTTATTGATGTCCTACTAAAATTTAATAACATCTGTAAATTAAACAGTTAAAAAAAAAGTCGATGGAACCCTGTCTCCTGTAAAGTGAGAGTCCAAAATATTTCATTCGCGCTATCGAAGATGCATCGTCAATATTTAATTTCCTCGATAACAGAGGAGTTCTTTGAAACAGGATCACTGTTCTCTCTGAAAGTGTTCTTGTTTTCAAGGAAACATGACTTCACCAATATTAATTGAATGGTAGCTTTCTTTTTCGATTTTCGCGCAAGCGTACCGCCCGACTCACAAATCTAACCGCGGCGAATTCCCCAAAGGAATGAAGGGTGACGAGTACTGTCAAGTCTACCAGGCGGGGATTTGCTTAATTTCTACATTTTACAATCCACCGGGAGTCTGTTCCGAGCCAGCACGGCTCCATCCTTTTAATTTAATGACTTCCGGGGGCCGTACGGTGCAGTACATTAGGAGAGTGAGAGCGAGATACGGATATAGTAAGGTGTAAGATATTCGAAAAGAAATCCGAAAAGCTGGATTAGCTCGTATTAAAAGTAAGCCCAAGTTTATAATATTATGATGAAATTGTGAAGTTCGAGTGGGTGGGCCGGTGGGGGAACTATGGTCAGGGGTCAAGGGGGAGGGGTGACCAAGGGAGCAAGAAAGCAACAGAGAGTGGGTGGGGGAGCCTGGATAGTGGCAGGAGGCCGCTTCTGGTGAGGGGTCCGCATTCCACAGACAATGTCACGTTTTTTAATCCCCGTTTTACTTTATTTGTGCTAAGGCCGCGAGGAAGCCCAAACGGCTAACGTAAGATCGACTTCTCCTTTACAGTTTACGTTTTTACGCACGACCCTACGAGAGGGAACGATCAAGAGAGCGTGAAGAGAAAGAGAGCGGGAGAGAGAGAGAGAAAGACAGGATTGAAAGAAAAAGAAAAAAAAAGAAAGAGAGAGAGAGAGAAAACGCGCCGATTTCATTAGAGCGTGCGTTCTCTGAAACGAGATCCGCGGGACTGCTTGCGGAAAAAGAAAGCTTCTCAGCTCGCGGTGCCGAGAAGAGGATGTCGGCCGTCGAGAGTGCCTTGGACGTCCTCTCCAGGGCAGCCACGATGGTGCAAGGTCAGTTTGCCACTTGTGTTAATCGTGATTTGTCGGAGTGAACTCGCACTTTCCTGTTTGAATTACGTAAATGTCATGCAGAGGGTTGCGAAGGCGGGAAAGAAGTTTCGTTCTGGAGGGAACTTGAAATTTAATGTGTGTTAAGTGCACCTTGAAACGAGGATTGGTTTTATTGAATTAACGTAATGTAATTGTTTATACTTTTAAAAAAAATTGTTTATCATAATTACGTAATGTCTGTTGGGAATTTATATGAAATTCGAATATTATTCTTTTTTAAATGTTGACTGTCTTACGCTTCCCATCAAAAAAGTTTATTAGTGAAAAATGCGAATTTATCAATACTCCACGTGCGAGATTACTGGCGTCACGATATTATAAGTTACTTTTTGCCTGATGATTGTCCGAACATTAGAGTGGATGGTAATAAGTATACAATTTTTATCAAGCGTCTTGATTAAATTAGGTCGTGATTACTCGTGCTATTGGATATTAGTGGCACGTGGAATAAGGATAACGTTGAGCCCCTAATAGTCCCATACCATTCTTATCCTCTTTCATTTATTTATTTCTCAGTTTCTCCATCATTTTTTATTTCTCTTATGAAGACCATGTCTTTCACAAACGACACACTTGGTAAGATAAACTCAGGAGTAAGATAAAATGATGTATCGTTTCGACTAAAAAATTTTATCTTCCGACATAAAAAAAAGATTTTCTCTGCATTTTCGAACACATACATACGTTCGATCTTTTTGAATACTAATAAACCTTTTCCAAATCTATCTCGCATTCCAGGCAGACCGAGATTTATTATTGATTAGATAACTCTTCGGGACGTTTATTTTGAAGAGGGAAGAATTCAAAAATCAAGAAATAATGTGATTCAATTTCATTGGTTCGGAGTTAGCGATACTCTCGTACTATTATTAGATTGAAATTCGATTGTCGAGGTTTTTTTAAACGCGTTGCGAGGTCGTAAAGGACCAAGGAAAAAGAAAGGTAAGAAAGTCCAATGAATTCGCAAGCTGAAAAGTATTTGACCCCTCTTGTGAAATCCTCTTTTCCTAAACCGTATCCATGTACTAATGAAATGGAGGATTCCGGTACGATTAGATAACATTGTGCAGTGTTTATTTTAGATTCCTTAACTAGTAACTATGTATCGGGTCAGAGTAAATTTCATAGTTATTCCCAACCCAGCAAGTTACATACGCGCATTATACCCAATACTATACGCAATGACGCGAGCGCTCGCGCACCTTATTCTGTTTGCTCAGCAGAATCGCACGTTCATTGCCAAGAGTCATCGTATGTCATTAACGCAAATTCCAAATATCTCTTTATCCTTGGTTAAAAGTATAATCGTAACTTCATTTAGTATCTTAGAATTTCCGGTGTGAAGGAAGTACAGATTGTGAAGTACGGGAGATGCGATACGTCCTACTCGACCACATTGTTAAGTTCACCATAGAGATAAAATCAGAAATTCATGTTCTACGATTTGGAAGCATTGAATTTAATTAATTTCGTAGATAAAATTTTAATAACATTTTCATATTCAAACAATGCTCGTAAAACCATACGTCGAACGAAATGATATAAATTGTGCTCGATTCGTAGTAACGAACGTATTATATTATGGTCGTTGAATAACGTTCAGTACGATTTTCCTAAATCATCTGTCTAGCTGGGCGTATCGAATAAATAGCACACTACAATGGCATCTCTTACTCGACTCTCTTGCTGATGTGTTTCGTTCGTGTGGTTTGCTAAGTGATGGCATGTCGGGGGTCGAACCTGTTCCGAATACCAGAGATAGTTACGTCCCGCGTCGACCGATGGCAGCTCCGTAGCACTTGAGAATTTACAACTAAAAAAACATAATGACGATTGTTTCAAGGCGCAAAACTATTTTTGAAACGTTCCCCGTTGAGAATTCATACTGTATACCATTGATTGTGTTAAGTATTTATTTTTTTTTATTTTACATGCGCAATCACTCTGAGTCATGTGTTCCATGCTATTCCTGTGTTTGCCTGCAATACCAAATAGGAGATAACTAACTATTCATCAGCGATGACCATAATGCAATGTCCCTGGAACATAAATCTAATCTGTCGGATAGCCTTAACGAGAAAGAGAATTATGAGATTTCACGAACAGAGCTCTCTACGTAATTTTCAAACTGTCACCTATCTTACTTACCGACTGCTGGTTAAACGCAGTCCAGTATGAATTTCAAATAGCACTCAGCCGTTAAACTTGCGTAGCTTTTTCAAGGCTTATAACGTGCTCGATAGTTACACTGTGACAAGCACGGATTATATGATTGCTCTGTCATACGGAAAGTATGTGGAATATACCGGTTAGTTGTATAGTCTGAAGGAATTATTGTGGTCGTCTAGTGTCTGATGGCTGACTGTCTCAATCGTTAAGTTTTATAACCAATCTTTTATTAGATTCCATTTATCTAACATATTATCATGTTATATCCGTTCGCGCCATAAGAGTCACTTTGATCCACGATGCATTGTCATTTAAAGGGACTTTCGTTTGCTCACATTATTTCTAATCCCTGCCTGTATATACGCCCAGCTTATACCTACGTGACTTCTGTCTGCTGCCTTTAGAATATTTAACGAACTTCCTCATACTTCCTGCCTCTTCGTACGTGAGCGGCAGACAGACTCGCTGCTGTAAACGAGACGGATGTAATGCAATCGAACGTTTCAATGACATTACAGTTTAGAACTACATGATAATCGTGTTTCTTAAGAGAAAACTTTCTTTGACATTGATTTTTGCACCGCGACTACCTATTGTACAAAATTGAGCAGATAGGTTTTTCAAATTTTACACTAGTTTTAGAAAGAAGTGAAAGTGATTTTCGAATAGATTGCAAGTGGTCGCTTGCATAAATTTCTCAATATCTTCTTAGTACGAAACAATTGTTTTCTACTTCCTAGTATGTATATACATTAGCATTGTTTGCTCATACTTCGCTGTTTTCAATGTTCAACGTTCTCATTTCGCTTTTGACATTGTGATCCTTTTCTTGGAGACTCTTTTTACATCAGAGGATAAGCTGACACTGTCCTGATCACTTAGTCAATTTCAACTGTAATTTGTATGTTGTTTATATGTAGCAACAATTGTAATAGCCTAAGTCTCCTATTGCCTCATGAATTCAAGTTGGACAATTTAGATTGTGCAATGTCAAGACAATAAAATAGGCAGAGGATTGGGGTGATTGCTTTTGTCCTTTTGTTATAATGATTTCCAAGAATTATATTACAATTGACAAATATCATCAAGACCCGATATTTCTTCGCGGTGACTATAAATTCTTGTTTAAATCATTTTCAGGGGACGGTTTAATCGGGGAACAGTCACTTTTACATCACGAGGAAAATGTACCAGGACGAAACGATTATTTGTACAGAAATTGAACTCGCTATGATTTCCTCAATTCTCAAGATCATTTTCTTCGGTTCATGCATTTACGGTATCCAATCGTTTGGGTCGTCATCGCAGCTCATTCGCCTCGGATAGGAATTTCTCAACGCCTTCACGGTACTCAGCATTTTATTCGAGATTCTCAGTATATATGGCAAGTAATGTGACGTAGGTAATACATATGTAATTGCATCTGCTGATCCCACCTTTTAGTTCTCTTGGCTCTCTCCGCGATATCGGCCGTCTTCATCGTCGATTTGGTGAGAAAGTGAGAAGAAGAGGTCCGTCCTCTCAGGATCAGAGGATGGATGGTGGGAGAGTTGGTATATACATACATATATAAGGTTATATAGCAGCATATATACTTGTTAGTATATGCGCGTGCCTACCTGAGTAGGCAGAGCCTGCAAGGTATAAGCACGTATAAAAGGGCCCCGATGGTGGGGCGCCGATGAGATGGTAGATGAATGAATGAACTTAAGACAGTCGTAAGCAGTCGTAAGAAAGCATTCACCAAACCACGACTCTTTTGAAAAAGGCCTCTTAACGATTTCGCGCGGTTTTATATTCTCTGGGACCTTTTATCCTTCTCTCTCGGCCACTCTCGCTACATCCGTTACGTATAGGGCAACGAAGAGGAGGAAGTGAGACAGAAGTGTGTATTTCTGCGGTGTGCCGTGATATAAGAGGAGACAGACTTATTTTGTGTCTAAGGCCCCTGGGGCATCCCCCCTCCCTCACTCTCACTGTTTCGCTGTTTCACAATACTCTCATCTGCCTGGTTTTACTCTTCGATAACGCCAAAAGACGGAATGCGTATCGGCAAGTGGCGTATCTTTTTCGTCAATTAACATGAGATAATAGACCTAAACGGGATATCGTGGTTTTACGATATATGCGCATATATATATATACATATATATATATATATATATATATATATATATATATAAAATTGTATACGATATGTGTATACACCGGATTTACCGGGAGTTTTGAGCACGAAGTTGTACCGGGAAATTTGCGGTTTGTTATCCGTTTCGTGGAAGCGTTGACTCTCGTTCAGTACGTGATTCTTGCTTAACGTATACTCGAGCCATGGAAGTTTCGTCTAGAAGAAGATGCCTTTGGCAACCGTGGCTCAGCTTTGACAATCTGCGCACGACCTGTAAGTCGAGAGGTACGTAAGAGCACTTGATTTACGTGAAATCAATGCTGTCTCTAGTCGCGTCGTTATTCTTCATCTTTAATTTCTTCTTTTACATCTCTGGTTATGATTAATCTTTATGCTAATCGAGAGCTATCTTGGAATCGAGAGGAGACCGGATTTCTGGCCATCGATATTGTTTGGTTACTGAGAATCTAGGTGAGCCTGCGGTTTCTAGAGATTAGGATTTATCACTGCTGTCTTATAGGGATGATCAGTTGGGAAGATGAGTGTTTCTTGACTTTCTTCTTTTTATAATCTGATTTTTTTTCTATGGTGATTCAAGATTCGATGAGAACGTTTATAATTCTTATCTATGTTTATCTATCAGTTTGCTTTCTGATGGCAATTGGAATGCTAATGATAGTTTGAGTATTTATCGTCTCGATCGAATGTCAAGGTAAAATAAACGTGAAATTTATTTTGATTGGAGACGAATCATTTTGGGGCCAGTTGCCCTGAAATTTTTAGTGGTCCTATAGCAGTGGTAGTAAGTTAAAAAGTTAATTGAGAACGGCAATGTATTTTCAATCCTTCTCCGGTCCATTCATCTTTCCAACTTCCCTCGTCTTGTTCTAAACCTGTTTGCCTCTTCTGACCATCCTCTCACGGCTATTAGGCACTTCCTGCCTCATCCTGGGAACTGGGAACCGAACTTGTTTCTACCCCACCCCGCCATTTAACAGGGTTGCTAGATCGAATTCCAATTTTAGAATTTGCTACAGAAATAGCCTTTACCTACGCGGACAGACTTTCCACCAATAACCCTTCGGCATTGACAATTATTGCCTTGAGAAATTCCATCAGACATTACGTAATACTCGCTTAAATCTTTAGTCACCAGACTGTCGTAAATTATTATTTTTTCCGTAATTTCATTTCCTCGTAAATAAAAGATTCACGCGACTAGGGACCTATTGTATGGTAACAAAGATCTTTAAATATTTATAATGACACTTTTGAACTTACGACTTGAATTTTCACACAGTTCAACATGCATATTATTGGTATCAGTTAGGCGTGTAAATGTTGCACCAAGGTACGCCTACTTAATAAATCCGTGCCTAGCGATACGCCCCTGTGTCATCTATTCGAATAGTGATTGCAATAATGAAGATTTCCCAAAGTTGGCCTTTTTCATTGCAAGTAGCACTGCAACGCTTAGGCCATTTAGTCCTAGAATAAATAAGTAATATTTTAAAAAAATTTCGACAAAGTACGAGAAGTGAATAATAAATACCTATTGGTTTCACAGAAGAGAGGCCAAAAGTGACGAGTCTACATCGAAAGCCAAGCAGTGCATGGCGTAAGGAGCGTAGGAGGGACCCGATTCAAAGTGAGGCCCTTGACATGTCTGCCGCCAGGGTACATCATCATAATAGGCCAAGTGTCATCGTACCGACTACACCTCAACCTGGTGAGAAAAGAAACATACTGTATCATTACGTGTTATTCCTTGGTAGTTTTAGTCCTTGGAAGTCAAGGCAAGGCAACTCAAATAGCAATTTCAATGCTGGTATATATGAAACAGGTACCACTATCGAGGATACAGCAGTTACACCAACGGCAACAGCAACCGCATCAGCAGCAACGGCAGGTCAGAGAACTGGAATGAGGAGTACGGGCGTAGTCAGCGATCCAGCGATAGACGAACACTTCAAACGGTCCTTAGGGCTTGCAGAATATGCTGCTGTCTTTAATGCATCGTCCTCCACTGACAAGGAAACTGGTCTTAGTGGTGAGTCCTTGACAAGTTTACTGGTTCTTGATTTTTTCATCCGTTGCATCTCACGTTCATGTGAACTTCTTTTCTGTACATCTAAAGTAGTATTTGAGTGTGCCCCTCCTTTTTCGATAATGATGCAAATTTAAAGTGACAGTATGGTATGACTTAATTCATTCTCCTTTTGGAAGCAGTCGATGACCACTTCGCTAAGGCCCTTGGGGAGACATGGACGAGACTGCAGGCAACCAACCGAACCAAGGATTCTACCTAACCCACGTGATTCGTCCTGCAACGTCGGTCCATAATCGATACTACTGCTACTATTACTATAACTAGTACTATCCTTTATCACTATGATCGCTCGATCCATTCAAAATTGTTTACGCCCTGGAATGTCTCTTAGGTTTTGAGTGGAACTGTTCCAGTACTCAGTAGATTAGGTAGTAATCGGTAAAAATTGTACTGAATAACTCTAGGGTAACTGTTGTCAGGTGTCATGCACGGGTTTCTCGTGCTTATTAGGATAATCGACACAATTGACAAAGTTCCATTCCCAATTCGATTTGTTTTTGGGCCAGGGCAATCCTTTGTTCCAGTTCCGTGATCACCTGTTACAATTGAATTGTACGTTACATTATGCTGTACAGTTATACGAGATGTTGGATATACATGTTACAGGTCATTAACATGCATTATATAATTAGGACATGAGAACTGTTATCTCATCTGAATACTGCTGTAATGCGAAACGCGATATTTGCTCTTAACTGTTTCGGAGACACTAAAGGATTCACGGAACGGCGTTGGGAAACTTTGTATATCTTTGGATTTGTTTTGTGCAAGCTGCGAATTCTTGGAGTTGAAATTGTAAATAGGTACACTCCGCGACATGTACGCCATCCTTACAGTCATTGCCGTAGTCCAAGTCATGCGGAAATAAGAAGTTATTTATTATTATATTACTATTACTCTCGCGTTACTGCGAGTATATAAATATATAAATAAATGAAGTAAATATATATGAAAATATATATGTAGTATAATACAAATACAGGATGTTCATAATTGTATGCATCAGAACGTAGAGTTCCTTTTGAAAAACTGTAACAAGATTGTTCAGTGAACAGGTACTAATCGAATCCAAATGTAAAACTCGGTTTGTGAAATTGTTGTCTCGCTGTGATGATTTGAAATGAAAAATGATTTGATGATGCAATTTCATTAGCATGAGTTTTTAATGTGATACGTTTTGAAGCACTCGACACTTGGACTGATTTTATCATGGATTCATTTTTAAAGGTAAAGTATTGAGCTATGCGTAACAATATAAAAAGGCCCTACTTTAATTTTCAAAGATCTGATATTTCTCTCTTAATTATATTAACTATAAATATTACACTAAAACGAAGAAATCCTTTAGAGGGGTGTATAATTTTGTATAATCTCAGTCCTAAAGAGAGAACATAAATGATACTGAAAAAGTCGGATGTAGAATTGGAGAAGAAGCGGCTCAATCTCCAGATGGCAGCACGTGTGACTCACCGATGTGCCATGATTAAACGGCATTAAGTATCAGTAGTCTCTTTTCGAAACTCAATAGTTTTACAGAAAGAGTTTCCAAGCCTATAGACTTTCAATATATTTTACTTTCAATTGCCACAATGGGATACACGTTTGTTGTACCAAGATTGCTCGAAATATTCGAAAAACAAGGATTATACTGTAGGTATGGTAGCTGTCATTATTGACAATTTTTCAATACAAATTTTAAAATGTAAATGATGTATAGTTTTTAGTAATAAATGTAAATTTTATATTACCCAGATGCAAAACTGATTTTATATTTTCTTTGCGCCTCTTTCTTGCGCCTCACATAGTAGGTGTCAGTTTCTCAATCTTGTTTTTTTCAATTCTATGCCTGATGAGACAGAATATGTAGAATTGGCAGGATCAAGCTGTATTTCAGAAGATCGTAGACTGATAAGAGGAGTAGTACTGATTTCAAATGGTGCTAGGACGTTTAACGTGAAGCCCAGCACACATAGAAGTCAGTACCTCTGCCATCTTGTGTACCCACATAATTTCGGTCACTCAAAATGGCAACCAAATTTAAAAAATTTCTATTTACCTGTCACACTTCCACGCATCGCTCAATGTAAATTAACAAAATTCGGAATCTCACGTAATCTCAAATCTTCATTAAAATTCTTTTTTGATTTCATCACTTCACAATGATGTCTCATGGATCATGCCGTTAACATAATTGAGAATCTTTTGAAATGACAAACTGGTTCTGTTTATCAGAACGCACTCAGCGAAAATTGCGATTCTTCCATAACAGCTGCTATTTATATTCAAAATTTAACGAGGGCTTCGGCTTCAATTTATAAACTGATCAACATCCACGATGCTCTTCTTTGAGAACACACGATCCAACCTTTATACCGCACTACAAACCAGATGTATAAGTCATCTCGAAATAAATCACAAGTACGAGACCGCTTTCTTACACTGCAGTTTTACGAACTTTGCAGTCGTAAGGTTAGATGCCAATCAAATGACTGATAAACTTGCCGGATTACATGCATACAAAACGGAACTAAAATACTTTGTATCCAGTACTTAAGAAATAAGTTTCGGTGCTCATTAGGCAGTTTCATATGACACAAGCAATTTAATTCACCAAGCCACTTAAAAAAACCAGGTATAAAGGTGTTTGAAAATTACATTGAAATTCGTGGCTTCCGACCAAGTTAGATCAAAATAAAGTAGACAAGTGATCACAAATGCGTGGTACTTGTTCGAGTCGTTAATTGCAAAGGTGGTAAGAAGACTGTTAGTACGTTATGTAGGTGGGCCCAGACGAACAGACCAGACTGTCCCAGGAGCGCTCAGATGGCTTCCTATATGCAGGCAGCCTGTTCACTTGCCGTAAAGCAAAATGGTAACTTAATATTAGACTTGAATATAAGTACGGTAATCCCACACCAGAGTCCAAAGTAAGGCTACACCTACCCCGCCATCATACCCGCCCCCAATTCCCCTTCAAACGCCCTCAAGCGTAATAATGCACTGGATACTAGATCTCCTAGGTGCAAATTGCAACTACCTATCTTCAACCTTCTCTTGTTCTTGGTCCGTATCTTTTACTCCTTTTCCACCCGAAGAGAAGAGAACGGCAGACTAACGAAGTCAGATTCCGACGACCACGTTCAACGAGAGTAAACTAAAATAATGTTCATTGCAGCCCTTCGCATGGCAAGTATCGTTGATATCGTGCAATCAATTGAAATAATACTAAGCTATCACAATTTCGTAGGGCATGGTGAAGTATTAGCGATATATTTACACTCTTCTAAAATACATTTATCGTTAAGACAATTTAATTGCTAGAGAGCCAAAAATCGGAGCGTTTCGATCGCGTTTTAACTTCTAATCCCCGTAGAAACGCAACATTATATTATTTGTTTATTTTAAGTCTCAGGCGTATCCTGTTTCGGAACCAGAGCCAGCTGACCGCAGCTCGGCATCATTTTCTCGTTTTATTCTCTTGTGTTACACACTATGGCTGTGTAGATGTAAATTTAAAAAATGCTATCCAACATAGCATAACTGTTAACATAACATAACAAGAAGCCTAATCGCGTGACAGAGCGTCGCGACGCTTAGAAATGCCGCGTGTCGCTCGGCCTTGCATCGAAATCCCCAACCCTTTGACCACGCTTTGCTCCGTTGTGTTTTGACGAACCTTCCTTTTCTTCCGGCCCTTCTTTTCACTCCGTTTAACCTCCATTATATCAGTGAACACTTCACACGCACGAATTTTAATCGAATAGTTGGGACGAGGAGTAGTCACAATGGTTTTGCTTGGATATTGCGATTTTTCATACAGTTCCGCGGGCACCGGAAGTTTCCGCAGCGTCCCACGCGCATCACTCGTCGAAATGACGCTTTCCCATCACCATCATGAAATACCGTGAAATACGATCGATTATTATAACCTAAATTTACTTTGCCGCGTATATAAAATATTACGTATCCTTTCGCGTATCCGTTAATACCCACTGACTTTGAAGTTTCTACGAAGGCTTCGAGGTTATATCCTCCACCGTTTTGCGCGTTACGACGTCGACCACTGATCGATATATTACGTCAAATTATGTTTTTCGGCGTAGCCTGCATTTCCTACTGTTGGTAGGTTATAAAGCTTCGTTCACCGTTATTAGCTGTACGATATCGCCGAATATATATTAAATAAATGTGAAATAATCTTGGAATTACAAATTCAAGATAATTGATTATTCTCACCGCTGTGTCCATTTAAAAGCAGCGCCACGTCGATTTCCATCGGCGTTTCGAGTAGATTGCCAACTCGCGTATCTCTACACTAGGAAAAGTTATCAGTGTATCTTCACTACGACGACTTATTCCTCATGTTCGTCTCGTCGAAGAAGCCCGAAACGAAAAATTGGATAAATATACCAAGAGCATAGCTGCACGCAGGACACGCTTGATGTTCGAACGTCCGTTACGAAGGTAAGAAAATCAGTACGCGATACGTTACGATTTGAATCCGATTTAATTGTATTAATTGGTACAGTCTCAGCGATGGCAAATTAATAATTGCCATAAGAGAATTGCGGTCAACATTTGTTTACGTTGCGGAGCGTGTTTACGGCGCAGTTTATAACTGTATGGGACTTGGGACACGACTGATCGAGTGACCGAGGGGGTAGCATTGTAGGAATACCCCTCCTGGTCTTGTATAGAATTACGTATATACTGGTATATAGTAGTTTCTTTTACGTAGTACGAAGCATGGAGCATAGCCCGATGGGGAAGTGGCGGGCCCCCCCATATCCTCCCCAGTCAGCCCCCTTGTAAAACCCCTCCAGTTCCCGTAACCCCTCGTCGTTCACACGCGTGAATCATGCATATCGATTTTCTTTCGTTAACCCGCGCCGTTCGTTCGTTCCTGGGTTCCCCTTCTTTCAAAGAGCCCGGGGGCCGCCACGACCCCCTCGATGAAAACGCATACGCGTGGTAGCGCTGCCCAATTCTTTTTGCACAATAGCTCGGTCTTCCCTCTCCAACCCGGTAAATGTCCCCATCGTACGATGCAGCACCGATGGTGCTTATGGGGCCCCGTAACCCTGTACTCTATACCCCAGACGCTTTCCGGCCAACCCCGCTAATAAACTTCTTTTGTCTTTGCCACCCTCTGCACTTGGGGGACAGTAACTAAGTTTTACGGGCTAGACAGGAGCTTCTCAATTTTCTTACGATGGTAAACTTTTTTTTCTTTCTTTCGTAGTCCATTATTTATGGTTTTGTCTAGATTGATGTGATTGACATCTTTTTTAAATTCTAACGTCAGCTGACAGTACTTAGCAGTTTTGCGAGTATTTTTAAACGTTTATTAAATGGATCGAATACGTAAGTGCAATTACCTCCAGCTGGCTGATGCGTGTAGTCCGTTGATGCTCATGTGCTTCAAGGCAACGGGACTTTGTGTGAAATTGTAGATAGACTTCGATTTGTTCTCGTTTCACTCGTGGATTTGGTCTATGGGGAGTTACGACTAGGGTGCGCATAGGGTGAACCGAAAAAAAAGGTGTTTTGGGTAGTGGTAGGGCGCTTCTGAGCAAGAGTCGTTTTGCATGGAATCGTCTGGCTGAGAAAAAATTGATAAAAAGAAAACGTTTGGATTTATAAAGACTGACTTTAATAGTTAAACGTAATAGCAACCGTGATTTAATACGATAGAAAGAATATTATATACAGACATACGACATCAGTATACAATAATTATTAGTTTTTGTTTTATACACTAATATGTTTCATCGCTATTAACATATTTAAATAAGTAATTTTTCATTTATATTACCCTGATTATAACTATCATCAACGTTCTACATCGTTCTGTATAATAAATAAATAGACATTACTAATTTAATGGCACACGCGTTCCAGTGTGTCATTTGTTAAATGATTGGGTATAATAAATTATAATATCATTGTAGATTATGCTTTATAAAAGTTTGCAATGAAGGGATACCTTTACTCTGCAAACATAACGATTTAAGTGTAATGTCATCGTACGGAATATTGCATCTGGATTAATATATTAATATAGAGTATATGTGATAGCCTGTAAAAAAAGTTCATTATCATAATTATCGACCTGGAACATCTTAAAATGCGAATGGAATGATTCTATGAAGTAATCACAAAAAGTTCATTCATTATTATCTTATGTAATACCGACATTGTTAGCAGCCCGACATGGGGCTTGGTTAGACGATTTAAGTTTTATTAATTACAGGAATTCTTATAATTCACTTTTACGTTTGCATCTTTTTTTGGCCACAAGTTCACTACTTTAATTTGCATTGAATTTGTAAATGTTTGAGTTCTGGAAAATTTCATATATTCGTACACATTGTTCCCTAACAATAACCCAGTACAGTTATATATGGATCTCCTTAGTACGGAGAGTTCATAAAGCGCCATATCGTTATTCGAGTTCGTAAACATGACAAATAGAATTTTTAATTAAGACAAAACACAGATTGTTTTTCCAAATACTCTTTATAGCCTAAATATATTTATTAATGGCATTACTTTCCATAAATGATCACGACTCCATTAGATCTTTAATTTCGAATCATTCTTACCAGTAGACTATTCGTTAGAGTATTAATAATGCCAAACATCCAAGGAAAATATTTAAAATTACTATGGCTCGTAGGACATTTTTTCAAAGTCGTCGATAGACTTCTATTCTTTGTCTAGGATTCAGAGATTAGAAAGACATTTTTCAAAGGCTTCATAAAATGGCCCACGTAATCTGCTCCATGTTTCAGATTGTAAATATTCATTGGTATTAGGTATATCATTTTTTTTTCTATAACTGCATTATTAAGTGTTTTTTATAATAACTGATAATAATGAGACAGCATGGTACTTCTTCATTCTCTAGAAATGTTTACCCATTTCTTTCATGATAAAAACATGAATCTACATCATTGTATTCAAGTATTAACTTGTATATCAGGATTTGGTCTTATTCTTATTTTTCACCCTAGGCGAAACAGAGTACAATTTTCTAATGATGGTTACTAAGTCGTTTTGGGGAAAAAGATTTTCTATTATTCCTTCTAAGAGTACGTATAACAGTCTTCTGTTTAGTACAGGTCGCTGGAAAAGTTCGAATACTCTTAAAAGTCCACGTCGTGTAGTTTCGCTACCTATGATATGCTTAAGTTCGTCCGAAAGACAAGAAAGCAAAGCAACTTTAGCTGCCACTCGTGTTCTATTTTTTGTTTCTGAATCTCGAGGTGGTTTCGCGTCAGCTTTTACTCCATTTGGCCAAAAACTGTGCCTGAAGAATGAAAAGTATAATTAATATCTTACAAACAATACTTGGCAATTTTATAAATGATAGTTTACTTACTTGAATAGTCTCAAGTACGTTGCAACATTCTTTGGACTTGTTAATACGGAAACATATTCAACAATTCTTCTATTTACAATGTCACCAAACATTGTGCGAATAATTTGCCTAAGGAGAGTTACGATTCTACGTCTCAACCATTGATTTCGAACTTTCAAATCGAAAACTTCATCCATTAAGAGTAGAATGATTCTCAGTGGAATATTGTCGTCGGTCTAAGGAAATTAAATATATAAATTTAATAACTTAATTTTTTAACACAACAATCTACACTCATGTATTACACTTCAAGTACCTCGGCATCAATGCTAGCTCCGACTTTCACACTTTCATAAAAAATAGTTGACTTTTTTGGATTTCCAAAAAATTTACTTATGTTATCCATGACATCATCTACTGTACTTAACATGTTATCTGGCATAGTCTTAACAGCTTGTGTCATTGTCTTCATCGATGTCTTTAGGGGATTTACTAAGGTATCAATCTGCAAATTATTAATTCGGAATTAAATCCCTCGATCTTTATGTATGTCTTTAACCACTATGGCATAAAGCACATGGGATGATCTTAAAAATACATGTTCCATATGCTTACCGTCCTAGCTATATGACCTCCTGTCACACCTTTATCATAATCTCCTTGTTCTAAAAACGCTAATAATAAGTTTTGCAAACCCATGTGACCGTCTACGATTGTTGGTTTTGTGAGTTGATGTAGCCACGCATTTAGCATGATCATCCTCCTTTCCAAGACGGCACGGTCCATATTGTGAAAAGCCTTCTTTGCCGGAAAGGCTATTTTTGCAAGATCGTAATACTTCTCCTTTATCTTTTGATGCAGGTCGTAGAAATCTGAGTACCTTCTGTAAATATGCCACTTCTCCTGGTAACCCGAGTCATAGTTCTTTGTGACGGCTACCGCGTAAATACCATAGGTCTTTCCTCTGTCGCTTACGATTCCTGTTTCAATTATTTCAGCTGTAATTTCAAACCGTCCTTGTTGCATTTTTTTAATAGCGGTTTGATCGCTTGTTGCGTCCTCAACTTTGACAAATCTTTCCGTGCTTGACTCGAGATAAAATGTTACATCCTTCCCTTCACTAAGCCTATCACCATCGGCATTTAATGAATTCTGTATTTTCCTAGTATCCTTTGAATTTGCTGACACGTCGGAATCGATTTCATCGTAAGTACCACCAGCATCCCTTTCAATCGTACTTGTTAAACTTGTCATCGAATGGGAATTTGATTTTAATTCTTTCTTTGGTACAAGTCTTTCGCCATCCTCCTTATGCGTCTCCGACAGTTCCTCCAAAGTATCAAGTTCATTATTGATACTGGACACACTGATGCTATCCAATGATTTAGAGTCATCCTCAGATGCAGGATCTTTTAATAGATCTAATTCGGCTAGAAGTTTTACGTATGAAAAAGACCTCTTGAAAGCTGGTAAAAATCTGTCTTCATTCTGCAGTTTTTCATAGCAACAAGTTTGAAGTTCATCAAACCACGTTTCCTTTACTAATCCAGTTTTCATACGCATCACTAAGTTCTTGACCAACGTGTCGTCTAGTTGCAATCTGCAAGTGGCCTTGTCACTCAGGTACTGTTGATGAATTTTCATTGCTGCCTCTTTCAGATTTTCTAAATCTGCATTTTTGTTTTTTATTGCGCCAATACTTGGCAAAATCTGTGGAGCACCTTGAAGCTTTTGTAATTCGATATCGGATATTTGTTGCTCAGCGGACACTCTCCATCCATAAATATTTAAATAAAAGAAAAGATATGCTTCAGCATTTATACATGTCATATAGTCAATGAAATAACTCAATGCAATATTATTTTTTAATAGTTCGTCCAGAGGTAGATTCACTAATTTATGTCCAGGAACAAGTAATCTGTTCCAGTCTGGATGGCTACTAATTCCATCAGTTTCTGACTCCATACCTTCTTGCATTCCAATGATTCTAGTCTCTAAAATCTTCTTTACGTATAATAAACTGTTCAGTTGTTGTTTAACTATTAAATCGTCGTCCCTTCCTGAATCTTTAGAGCGCAAATGTGCTATTTCTTTAGAAACAATATTTTTTGTTGCCATTAATTCCTCTAAGCTATCGGACATTCTAATAACTGTTAAGAATACATCACTTGGTAAACCGATTTCTTTAGTACACTGTAAAAGAATAAGTCACGGTATGTTTTATTATATATTGTAGAGACGATAAGTAAGACTTTTACATTATTTAACTTACCAGCCATATACATGCTTGATTAATGTAATCGGGATCTGAGAACAGGTTTAACAACGGTCTCATTATAACATTCACCAACAATTCCCGCAAAATAAACCTTACAGTCAAACAATCAAAGTCCGCTTTCGGGAGTACTAGGTACAAAAGAATTTCCGATAATTCACCCAGAAATGCCAGCTCCTGAGTTTCACTTGTACATACTAAATCTCTGCAGATCAAATTATTTTCCATTCGCAGTTCAAGGTCGAAGAATATCTTTTCGAGAGATTCATCCTCTTTCTCCTCATTGGATTCAATTGGTTCCGCCAATGAGGATAAATTCGGAATGTAGAATTTAGACTGCGAGTACCAGGATATATCAGTTTCACTTTTATTTCTTCGATGAGTTGGCGTTTTCTTTGGAGTGCTACCAGACGTGCTGGATCTGCTACCCCCTTTTTGAATTCTATTCGCTCTGATCTGTTTCATTTTCGCCCTGGCTTGACGATACAGTCTCATGTGCGAGGCCGCATCATCAACGAGTCTTGTTGTCAAATATGGAATCCAATCAACATCTTTTACTCTGTCGGATAAATATAATAAAATAAGATGAATATATAGAATTAGTAATATTAATATTATTTTTAAAGGAAAATTTACCTATTTGCTATGTTGATGGCGATTTTTTGAGCAGTGTCCCTGACTGATTTTGTGAATTCTTCATCATCTGTTAGGGAACCATACCAAGGTTCTATATAATCTCTTAGAACGAAATCTAATATCTCCTAAAATATTTATATGTTCAATATCAAACCGTTTATAAATAGCACTAATATAAGTAATTAAAAAGTAATCATTTACTTGTAAGGACTCATCAATAATGTGACTACCAGTGACTCTTCTATCCGAAGTAAATGTCACCTTTCTTTTGGATGTCTCGTCCAATAACTAAAATTTTATAACATATTAATCTAATACAAAGTGTATCTATCCTTTGATAATTAAAACTTTCCTATTTTACCTGTCGTAACTTTTCAGTCTTTTTATGTAAGTTTTCTTTTCCAGATTTGATTTCATTATCAAGAACTGGAGAATACTGTTTATATATACAAGTTAATATTCTGTAAAGATATAATTATATGTATATAATAAAAGACCTTCAAATACGTAAATGAATATATCTGTCAGATAAGAAAACGTATAATTACCCTAGGATTAATACAAGTAAACATGTGAGAATTTTCAAAATTGTCCCTAGGCCAAGGAGTGCAGCAAATACAGTCACAACAGCTCCAACTACTCCATACAGCGGCACATTCATCTGTAACAATATAATGAAGTCAATATCATGTCAATAATATATATTAATAATCGATTGAAACAAATATTAAAAATATTGATACCAACTATATCACTTATAACTACTTTCTATTGAACTATAATTGAAATACAATTTTATTCTTTTACAATATAAAGTCGATGACTACAATCTTGTACGTTGAAAATTCTTTTCACTTGTAATATTCTTACATATCTGCCAGACACAATGATATTCTATTGATATACATATCGTTTGTGTTTAGAAAGATAGCAGTACTAAAATATTCCATTAGTAAACCACAAATAGCATCCTTGAATACTTATTGTTAACAATATTCCATGCAATCTTACATTTCTTCAAGGTAGACAAATTTTCTGTACACTGACAAATGACAAATTTTATGCAGCTATTGCTTATTTATAATAGCATACTACCTGATAATTGTTATGTACATTAATACTTGGCATTCTTGAATAAACGTTCCGCGCATTGAATATGAGTTTATTGACAGTCTCCTATTCTATACCATTATTGAAACGCATTGTTGAACTGGCTTTCGTCAAAAGCACGTAACGATGTATATGTATACCATATGTAAAAAATGACATTTCACAAGCAAAAAAAGTTGTGGCATATAAGACTTTGTTTCTACGCATAAAGCTACCAAAATGGAACACATTTATTTAAATGATCCACGGTGCGTGCTCGGAATAAAATGTAAGTAATAAATATTTTGATATCACATGAATACGGGCATATGCTCCGACCTACTAAATACCTACATGACCTATTCTTGGGGAAAATAGATACGCACCTTTGGGCTCTTGAATAACTAGTCACGCGTACAATAACACACATTTTGCAAAAATCGTTTGTGCAAAAACCATGGAAATTAGTCAGCTAACCAATAGTTTATTTACATCTTTACGCGAGATGATTAACCAACTAAACACATCCGAAGACATTTCTCCTGATTCTCCAGGCGTACACTAGGGGTTGTTTTAATGTATAACGGTGCTTACGTTGATTCCCAAGTATAATTCTGTACTACTCTTATCTATTTATCTTACAAACAACATTCCTCTCCGTGTGCCACTCGACAATTAAACTGTCCATCCTTGGTTTTAATCACCTCCGTTTGCGCTCCAAAGTCTAACTTGATAATTAGCAGTGTTTGCAAACCTATGCTGTTCCGCTACTGCAGATCCCCTACTTGCCAACATAGCTGGTGCAGTAAATCTTCCCTTCCTTCCTTTCCTTATGGCTGTATCCCCAATGGGGGACATGTGCCAGTAACTGGTCCTAATAATCAAGGTTGGAAGTTCAACAATAGATGGCGATGTACCTTGCGAGACGGGTCTTATTCAACTCAGCGTGAGGGGACCTACAAAGTTTATACACTGAATCCGAACAGTGTTGAGTGAAATCCGTATAAATACTCACTTAAGTTTTCATATGAAAACCCATTGGTGAATGCCGCTGGAAGCTGGGCGCGAACCTCCAACCTTTCGGTCGTGAATCCGCTGCCCTATCCATTGGGCTACGGCCGCCCTTGTGTAGTAAATCTTATGTATATACCAGTATGTACATAAATTGTCATCAGTTGCACAGAGATGAGTAGAGAGATTGCCAGTATGCCGATTTTCTTGAAACCAATTTTATTTTGGTGTAGACGCGCCACCTGAGCGGAGGGCCATTGAACCATACCCACATTTTTGATTGGTTGAGTATATATAGATATACTACGCGTGTCATTCGCATAGGTTAAGTTTATGCACGCGGACACTGACTATACGATACTGTAATCCGTACGGCAGTGGTGGGGGCCAGTAGAGAGAGATAGCAAGGACACAGACGATGTTAGAAGTCGGTCTCTATCACACACTGTACAGTCTTTGAAAAAGTTTAACCGTTTGGCTGCTGACGTATTTTTTCGGACATACATATGCCAAAACTGCGGCACTAATTGCGCGCGTATGGGAAAAAACGTAAAACACTTTTTGTACGATAAAGTAGTTAGTTAGTTAGCTAGTTAGTTAGTTAGTTAGTTAGTTTTTTTTTAGTTAGTTCATCATCGCTGCTCTCGCTAATAGCCCGTAATCTCTTTTTAGGAATAATAATATAACTTCCGCTATCACTTTCATTGTCACAAACTTGCATTTTATCATCAGTCCACGATTCCGAGTGAGTTTCACTCCAAATATCAGACATTGGGTTCACCGTTATTTAACAAAAAAAAAGTAGATTTGAAATATGTAATATTATTACAACAATTAAAAATCGTGTGCTCCGCAAACGCAAGGTGCTTCACTGGACACACAAATTCTAGTGTTCTGGATCGGCATTATTACGCTCTCCGCAGACTAGGCATCGAAAAAAAAGAGGAGCGCTATTGCGATCTTTGCATTTTTGGCGTAACATAAGAAGAGCGCAATAGCGCTCGTCAGCAGCCAAACGGTTAAACTGGATGACTTTAGTAATAAAGCCATGTTTTTAGAAAACAATATTCGAAACTATTTGCAATTTTCGGAAATATTTACTTAGAAAACGATAAACCTGTCGTAGGACTCCACATCGATATACACGAATTTACACATCAGTACATAGACATTTTTAATAAATTTGTACTTTAGTATGCGGCGTTACAACATTTTCGTAGGGCTTGTACACCACATGCGCAGTCCAATTCGAAAAGAACAACCTTATAACAACGGTGAGTGAAACAGCTCCGCGCTGGTCGGACCTGCGTGAAGTTGGCCGGCCAAGTTTTATTTTTTAAACTTTTTTTTATTCCAATCGCTTGATAGTCGTTTGATAGTGTTTGATAGTGTTGTAAAAACGTTTGACAGTCAATAGTCTTTTCAGAAAATCAAAATCAAAATCTGGTGTAAAGTTGGCCGGCACTTTTTTGTTTCTAACCGGATTTTGTTTTTCCAGAGCTCAATCGATGCAAAATCGTTTGATAATTGCGAATTAATTAATAAAAACGTTTGATAGTCCATCGTTTGCAAGAAAAATGAGAAAAACCATATACGAATCAAGGATTCCAATCGATACGATACAATTGATTCCTCGATCGGTGTGTCCATTGACTTAGACAATATAACAAACTTTCTCTACTTCCAATCGTTTGATAGTCGTTTGATAGTGTTTGATAATCTTATAAAAACGTTTGATAGTCCATCGTTTGCAAGAAAAATGAGAAAAACCATATACGAATCAAGGATTCCAATCGATACGATACAATTGATTCCTCGATCGGTGTGTCCATTGACTTAGACAATATAACAAACTTTCTCTACTTCCAATCGTTTGATAGTCGTTTGATAGTGTTTGATAATCTTATAAAAACGTTTGATAGTCAATAGTTTTTTCAGAAGAGCCAAATCGATGTACGATGTGAAGTTGACTGTCGTTTCCTTGCTTCTTGTCCATAATCAGCTTTTTCAAGACACGTAATAAACCAGGTTTTTGGCATTTCTATAATTACATAATAGTCGTAAGTCAGCAATTGTTGTCATAAGTTATTTTTACGAGCAACCAGAACTTTATGATGATTCTTTAGTAGGTAAACAGGAACACAGTCATAATACTGTAAGGCCCTTACTCATACCTCTCTTTTAGCGTTAAGAGACGTCTATTAGTCGTTAAAAGACAGCAGATAGCAGTCGATAAAAGACGTCTCTTAATGCTAAAAGAGGTGTATGAGTAAGGGCCTAAGTTTATATCGGAACATAGGCATGAACGCCTATATGACGTCAGCTTTCATGGCTTTTCAGAATGGCTTAATAGAAGTCTATAAACAATGCATTGTTATCACCCTATGGCAAACTCATGCATGGAACATTACTTGTATAGCAGTGCGGTGATTAAAGCAAATGGTTGAAAGGTATTCAGACACGTTTTAACCAATCAGCGTCTCCTGGCAGCCATACAACGGTGAATGCGTGGGTTTACACCATTACATCATGATAAACTATTAACTATCAAATGTTTTTACAAAACTATCAAACACTATCAAAGTTTGGAATATAGTCTAATTCAACGGACACACCGATCAAGGAATCGATTGTATCCTATAGATTGGGATCCTTGATTCGCATATGGTTTTTCTCATTTTTATTGCAAACGATGGACTATCAAACGTTTTTATTAATTAATTCGCAACTATCAAACGATTTTGCATCGATTGAGCTCCGAAAAAACAAAATCCGGTTATAAACAAAAAAGTGCCGGCTACTTTACACCAGATTTTGATTTTGATTTTCTGAAAAGACTATTGACTGTCAAACGTTTTTACAACACTATCAAACACTATCAAACGACTATCAAGCGATTGGAATAAAAAAAAGTTTAAAAAATAATAAATCCGGCTAGAAACAAAAAAGATCGACGAGTCGGGCTGGTGCAAGGATGCACCTGGCGCCCAAGGGATCCGTGGAATGCCACGTTGGGGCCGCGGATAGAACGTAGGTCAGGAAATGCGTTACAATGTATAGTATATTTGCTTATTTATACATGTAGATTTGTAAATAAGTAATGCACCTGGCCAAGTACATGCATGCAATATAATATACCTAGGTATATCGAGATAAACAACACAGCATTAGTCCAGTTAAATAGAGTTATAGTCGAGAATTTTAGTATTCATTTTCGACGAACAAAATATATTTCTTACTACAGAGCGCATGTGATTTAGATTTTTCAGTCGAACCATTTTTTTACGTTATTGTGATTTGCTTATACGCTAATTATTTAAATGGATCATTTGTATGACGTTATTATCTTCGATCGTAGTATAGGCCTACTGGGGACCCGCTACGTTAAATAATGAGAACGCATCGACTACAGAACCTCTTGAGTGATGTGGAAGCCCGTAGATTATCGTTGTTGATGCCTTTATTATAATAAATTAATAAATAAAATTAGAAAAAAATTGATATTTGGTTCGATTTTTTTTTTACCTTCAGCGTGCAGCCCGTACAACTTTTGAGGAGGTTGGAGGGTTTACGCCGGTCAAATCAGTGTTAAATTTTAGTAATCGTTTTTGTAAATTTAATGCATTATGTAAAATTGGTCAGGTAATAATTATTGCAAATTCATCGCTCTGAATGTTTTTATGGGTTATGGGCACATGTTATAATACAAATCACCCTTCACTGCAATCAATTAATTCATAAAAGTTTGTAAAAACGATAAAAAATATTTAAATTCATCGATCTAAATTTTTCTATGGGTTATAGGCACATGTTATAATACAAATCACCTTTCACTGCAATCAATTAATTCATAAAACTTTGTAAAAACGATAAAAAATATTGAGCACTGATTTGATCGGCGTGAAGCGTGTCAACCGCCTTAATACCTTGTATTTAAAAAAAATCATAACGTCCAGAAGAAGAAGAAAAAAACTTCCAACGGAGAGTCTCGAACCACAGACCTCTAGTCTCCTAACCCAATGCCTTACCTATCGACCAGCATCATGTACTTCGTATACTTTCTTCGCAACTTGTATTTCAGTAGTTAAGTCATTTGCTCTATCGCATAATTGACAGATAAACCATATGCACGATTTTCCTTTAAATACATTTGTATGTTCTTCATATCTAAATTATTAATAAAAACAAATGGGTAGCTACCTTAAAAATGAAGGTAAGGTCTACAACAAATAACACATAGTTATTGAAGAAAATGATTTTATATTTATTTATGTGCACTTGCATATGTGATCTACAATCCGAAAATATACATTCCCAATAGAAAACAATAAGAGTTATAACACTGAAATTCGTTTCTATTATATGATTTTTGATACACGTGATAAATCCTACAATTTCTCGATCATTAATTCTATTTAGGATGTTTCTTGTGTTATTAATGTCAGTACTTTTAGTACAAATCCGCACTCATGGGCAGCGCCACAAGATAGCTTGGGATTTTCGGGGCGCCATCTACCCGCCGGGATTGGAACTAAAATTTTACTATAGTATATGCTTGACATACCCCCACCACGTCCTCCGCACCTCTATACCTATCTACACTCAACGCTAAAACGTAACATTGGTTCGAGGGCCTCCGCTCAGATGGCGCGTCAACGCTGATATAAAACTTGGACTCATCTCTGGTTTGTCAATCAGAAAAAAAATATTATTTTTAAATATTTATCTTGCAATTTTTCTCATTCGTCATTATAGATAAGTTTATCATTACATTTGAAATGTTTAACTAATATTGTAACATATTTGGCATTGTAATAATGGACCTTTTTATATCAATTACTTTTGAAAGAGAAGTGTAAGTCGCATACGAATAAGAATTGCTCAAATTCGAATGCAACGAAAATTTGTAATTGTTCTTCGCTGCCGGCAATGGGAGATGCCGATAAAAAGAAGAATTCAAGATTCAAAAAACAGAAGATCAGAGGTTTTAAAAGTGTTCTATCACTTTTGTATACAGAAAATTCAAAGCGAATAAGCGCTCAGGATTTTATGTATTGTAAAAGTGAAGATTTCGTTGACAATTGTTGATGTACAGATCAGTGTAGATGTGAAATTCAAACGAGGTTTTTAGCACCATGGCTGAATTACTATTAACTGATGTTTTATATTCAAAAATTACTCCAGAGGAAATTATAAAGTGGTTGATAAATGACGATGTTGAGGTATATAATACAAAGATATTATATATAATAGTAATATATTTCATCTACATAGTATTTGATTTCAGTATATAATATTAGGTTATGTTTAGTGTTGTATTATCAATGTTTATATGTTGCTTTATATTACTTTTTAGGATGAGAGACGGAATAATTTTAAAAATGCTGATTGTGCACGTGGTGAATTTATATCATATTTTCTCAATTTCATAAGAATCCAGTGTGCAAGGTAATCCCAGGGTATAAAAGACCTTTACGCCTTATATTTTTATTTTTCATATGAATTTACATTTTATTATTGAAGCTTTATATATTTCTATAATTATTTATTATCCCTCTTATGTTGCTGTTAATTATGTTTTAAATGGTTATTAGTTTTGATTACATTATTTATTATATTTTATTTTATGATCTTTATACCACAATTTTATTTGTTTTTATCATAGTGTGCCACAAGCATCCAACAATGCAAAACAGACATCAGCTTCGAAGAATTTGTCAAAAATCAATGAGAGATACGTTATACCTGAAATAAGAGGCAGACGTGTACCACGTTCTATTGTTAAACACCAACCATTGGAATCTAAGATATTCCAAAATGATGTTAATACAATCAAACCACAGATACAAAAAGATATCTCCAAATCAGAACAAAATATTTTGTCTCATAAATCTTGTAGTGATGGTACACAGAAAATTATTTCACAGAGGTACATTTTTGAGAATAGTCATTTAGAAACTGTAAATTTGGGAACCCATAATATTCCAATTGCAAATTATACCAGCACACAAACGAGTACTCCAATAATAAAGTGTTCATCACCTATCAGTGATACTTCTTTTATAAATCAATCAAAAGATGAGTTAAGTAACTGTAAAATATCATTAACATCGGACAACTGTAGTACCAGCCAATTGAATGACTCTTTTTTCTTTAATACATCAGTGAAATCCCAAAATTCCTCCAGAAATGAGTCATATTTACATAATAATTCACTTTTGCCTATCGAAATTCATCAAAGTCCTATCTCACCAATATACAATAATCATATATCGTCAAAACCTCCAAAAAATGTTACGAAATCGCATAACAAATATCCACCACAACAAGTAAACAATGTAACACCACAACATAAAAAGAATGCTCCATCTCAGCAAAATAGTTCACAAAAGAATTCTAAAACAACTCCAAGGCATACTATTTGCTTGGGAGATTTCTTAGCAACAGAATCGAACAGTTCAAAGAAGGATAGCATTAAAAAAAGTAACTCGAAAATACAATTGTTAAGGCAAAGTAGAGAGGAAAATCAATTGCCAAGTAGACCAGCTGTAACGGACGAGTCTTTTCCTGAAGTGGGAGCAAGTTCTGCAAGGAAACAAAGACGAATCAAGCCGACGAGGCTAGACAAATCAGAAGACACCTCAGGTACATTAGTGACAATATGTCTTTATATTTGTAATATGTTTCTATGATATAATTCCTTTCATTTCAGGAAACCAAACAAATTGGGTCTTCGGAGTAGTGAATCGACCCGTTAAAGTGAATCCACAATTCATAGAAACTTTACCCACTGACAATTCAGCAAATAAATCATCGTTCGATGTGGAAAGAGATTTATTGCGATTAGAAAGAAAAAGACAAACAAAAAGCTTATCTGCAATAGAGTCAAATGATTCTGTGATACAACAACCTCAACCCAAAATTCGAATGTCAACCAAAGCGAGTGTGAACACTGAATATATAATGCCAAATGTGGAATTGGTGGAATACATCGATGTGCTAGATATTTTAGCACAACTTTATTCTTCTCTACTCGACTACAATTTAGTTGTCAATCCTATGACTGAATTGTATTTCATAATATCGCTGATTACCATGTCATGTTCAGTTGGGAATAATCAATTTTCTAATAGAACGACAGAAACAAATGTAGAACAAGATCGCAGCAAAATAACTATTGATGATATTAACGAATCTATCGACGCAAATATGTTAACTAGTCGAGTTGAAAATGAGGACGACTCAGATGGAAATGAGAAAGTGAATTTTTCTTCTATAATCGACGAATCCGAACAGTTGGATGATTTAAATGAAGAACTTGGTTGTGCCGTGTTAACAGATGATATATCTCCTCAAACAGAACAAGATAATGTATTAAGTACCTGTAATGATGAAAAGTTGAAAGAAAGTAATGTTGTTGATGGAAGTGGTCTAGATTATGAATTAGAACAAGAGATGGATAATAATGAGCTGACAAAGTACCTTCAAACGAAACATAATCGTGTATATTTTTCGACAAGGGTTTTGAACAGTCAGAGAGTATTATTAAAAAATTTGGATAGAACTACTTTAAAGTTGCTTTCAGAAAATATCCAAATCGGCACCTTCCAGCCGGAATTGCAAGCATTTTTAAAAGAGTTTTATAATATAAAGTTTGCTGAAGCAAATAGGATCAAGCAAATTTTTAATTTTAGGTATGAAGTATAATCCATCTTGCTAGGTATTTTATACAAAAAGTTGTTACTTAATAATTAAATTTTTTTTTCTGTTATAGCACGATGGAAACAAATGTTTGTTTTCAAATTGATACAGATAACCGAGACAATTTTCCTTCTATCTTAGCGTTTCATTCCTTTAAGAAACAGCGTGATATGTTTTATGAAATATTAAGAAGTTGGGAAGAAAATCACTTAGTACCAAGTTGGACGCTTGCTTCAGCATTGGGTGGAAAAGTCAAAACGCTTTTAACTTTACATAACGATGCTATAAATTATTCACATTTTGCCCGTTTATTCAAATCACAACTTTTAATTTCTTGCATTCGTAATGGACACCAGGTAAATTTCATGACACTGATCAGTTATTATTTTTATTATTCCATTAAATTATTGTCATCGATTATAATTACTATCTTTATTCTAGGAAAAGTCTATTGATGAGGAGAGTTTAAGTGTTCTTAAATCCTTAAAACAATTAAATCCTGAAAAGTTAACTCAACTCCAAGAAAGATTAGTTACTCCAACATTCTCACAAGGACCAGTTCCATTGCCATCATTCCCAGGAGTGCAAGAATTTTTTAAGGATTTTCTCTTACTGACTTTCAATCCAATTTTCTATGTACATTTGGAAAATTGTTTAGTACATGAAATTCTGGAACTTAACGACACGCAGTTCATTGGTAGTGATATCGAAGATACTGGTAATCTATTTTACTTTTTCGCTTGATAAATTTTCATTATTTATATATTTATATTCAAACTAATAAAATTTCTTTAGAAACAATGGTCGATGAAGAGACAAAGCAAAATTTTATCACTTGCTTATCTAGTTTAAGATTACTCGCAAAAATATTAGGTTTTCTTTTATCACTGCCATACCGAACTGAGACCGTTGCAACTGAAGGTATAATAGCATCTCAAATCGAGATACGAAGCCGAGTAAGTCAATAGCCACTGAATTTTTAATTAAAAGATACATTCCTTGAAATAGAATTTTACATGATGATTTATGATTTTAGGTTCAGCCATCATTAAATTTACAAGCTTGTATCATAAATGCAGTTGTTGAACGAAAGTTATCCTTAACAATACCATGGGCAGTGAAATATTTAGCTATGTTGGAACCAATATCACTCCGTTTGCCTTACTATCAAGAAATCTTGGAATTGCTTTATTATATTTATCGTGGTTTTAATCCTGCCAACAATTTTCTATCTCGAAATTCAATTTCTCAGCAAACAGTAACCTTAGTTAAATTTGCAATTGGATGGCTTTTTGAGTTACCTAATTTTCCCAAAGATTTGTACTGTCTTTGGCAGTCGAGTTATAATAATCGAAGACTGAAAGTACTATGCCAAATTGGTAAACTAGATTGGCAAGATCCTAATGTGTTCTCAACGGATACGAAGAAGTCTGCCAGTCCTGTAAAGTCCAATTTAAATCTGGATCACTTGGAAATAGTAGATGACAGGGTACTGTACATATGTTGTCCATTCCTAATGGAATTGAAAATACTTCTCACATCAGGAAATGCTAAGTTAACTAGTAATAATCCTATCAAGCATATTACTCCAGTTTCCAGTGAACTTGATAAGCCAATTGGTAGTACCAATAATACACAGAATTTAGAGGTAACTCATCTGCTGGAACGTCTGCATGAAATGTAGTTTCAAAATGATCTTACCAGTTGAATTAAATTATTATTTTTAATTCTGTAATAGCTACAATTAGAGGAAGCCTTTTTTCATGGTCAACCTGCATCGACCCGAAAAACAGTGGATTTTGTTGCTGAAAGAGTTGCATCGAGTTGTGTAAAATATGTTTGTAACATTTTATTACCCCCTGCCCGAGAGAAAAATCTGAATGAATTTAAAAAAATTGTCGACGATGTACAATTAGCGTGTGATCAATCAGTTAAACGAAAAATAGTACAAAATTCACAGGTTTGTTGTTTTCCAGTATTTAAAGATATTTACCAATGTATGTTACCGATTTGGTATTATAACAACATCGTTTGTATTCAGATTGAGCTAACAGAAAGGATGAATTCGATGGCGGAAAATCTTTGTAAGGAATTACGAGATCAATGCGAAAAATCAGTTCCATCTATGATCGAATCACGAAGTGTCGCATCTATCAATGCACTATTAGCCGAAGATGCTTTAGCTTCTGTAAAAGAAATGTGTGCTCAAATAACAGTCAGAATGGCTATGGAGCGAGTTAATCAATGGATACAGTCACATCTCGTGAATTCTTTATTCGTTAAAGATATGGAGCCAGAACTTGGTAGATTTGCAAAAAGCAGTAGTGCTATCGAACCTTTTGAAAAGAGAAATCACAATCCAGCTGCTACCAGCCCGATCGATGTATTAGATGAAATCAGAGTGAGTACAATGTTGTACGAAACTATACATTATATTCACGTGCTCCATAATTTTTGTAAGTATTATTTTCACAGGATCTGATATGGGATTTAGTTGACAATGAAGGAGAGTCTTTGGCGTTAGAAATTGTATCTATTTCCTTGAATAGATTATACGAAAGTTTGACAGAAAGGGGTGATTTACTACCAGGACCTGAAAGAGTTATTTGTGCACTCAGTGTTGACTTTGCATTGTTTTTAAGTAATGATTTTATTATAAGTATACTTTAATTACATCCTTTGTCTTTTCTCTAAATGATATTTATGTTTCAGTTGCATATAGAACGGATTTATGCGTGCCGAATATTTATGATATGTTCATTAAAGTATGGAAAATAGATTACGTACAGATTACAGATTCCAATCCATCGTTAAAGCGATTGCTGAGTCCTAGAAATATATTATTACTAGCTCAGCCAAATAAGGAACATGTCTGGACTGCATTTGGACAGTTTCTTCGAAAACTGTTGAAAGAAAATCTTTTAGATATTGACTGTCTGAGTGATCAAGCCGTTGCATTGTTCAGAGAAGTGTGGCCAGTAGTGAGTATACAATTATATTTGGTTACCTAAAATCGGTGGAAGTGAATGTGACGTATTTTTATATCGTTTCTGTTTCAGCCGACGTTAAAGAATTTATCAAAGTGTTTATCAGAGAGCATAACAGATTACAAATCATTGGATGAACAAACAGAAAGAATTAAATGTCTTCTTGTATGGGTAGCCGAAACGTGTCAAGATATGGAACTTCGTGATGAATGAACAAGAATAAAAATTGGTACGATAACTTTTGACGATAATAACGCGTTATAAGTTGAATAGAATTTTATACATTTTTTTTAATCTATGATTTGATTTCTTTGTAGTGATAATTTTGAAAACTCAATATTGTACAAATATTAATAGCACTTAAAATTTATCTTAATTGTCATGTTCAGTGTATTGTAAATGTAATTTTGGACTGGCATAAGGTATATTTAATTACATTATATTTAATTACTGTAAAGGTTATAGATACAATTAATGCTGTATGTAATTTTAATTTTTGTCTCTTCTTTTTAATAAAAAAAACTCATGCAACGAAACATACTTTTGTTTGATTAATTGCATATATTGTTGTCCCTTTATCGCAGTGCTGATTACTTTGAGTAATTGGCTGGTATCGGCGATTAACGGTGAACATTTCCATTTAGTATCGGTCTTGAAGTAATCGGATACTCAGGACAAAATAAGACGAGAAATAACGACAGAAAAAAATCTTTCTTACATTTGTATTTCTTATAAATTATTTTTTTTCGCTTAACTTTTAACATTAACATAATACACTGTCTCGTTTCTCCTATAGGTATAATATAATTATTCATCGCAGCGCATTCTGGAAAAAATGCAACAGTTTAAATTTTGCAAGTAATTAATAAATGTACAATAATTAAATTGTTGAATCATTTACTGAACACCCTATACACTAGTTTCATCATCGCTTCATTCGTTTCCCCTGATCGTATAAAGTATACTGACTAGAACTTTACTTTGTGTTTAGTTTACTTCTATTTTTTACATAAGTACAGTAACTTTTTAATTTTCAATTTGTTAAAACACTATAATTAATTAAGTACATTTGTCATTAATTAAGTACATTAATCGTGATTTCTAACAGTTCGCCTGCATTGATTCATGATCGTTATACGAAATGAGAACAATGCCTTATAGTTTTGTACAAACAAGCCAGGACCTTCGAATGCCTCAATAAAATTTCATAAACTGCACTATTGCAAGAGTTAATACTTTATCAGAAAATCGATGGAAAACCTGCATAAAATTTCCTGTTAAAGCAGCATCGCGCAGCGAGATTTTAGACGATTAGGTATTTCATTGATCGGTATAATTATTTGTCCGTAAGTCAAAATGCATAATTCATTTAAATTACTGATTTAGCTTATGGTTAATTATGATTAATGGTAAATTACGTGTTCTATTTTCAACAGAACTAATTGCACCTAATCGAAAAATGAACTGTGATTTTTTATGAAACCGTTTATTTTCTTTGATGAATTTACTTCAAACTATTATTAGCACAATATACCATCTAATTCTGATTGCTAAAATTGAAATCTTCTCAATGCAAACTCTATGCAACAATTTCAGTGATGAAAAGTATGATTTAGTTTTCTCCATAGCAAATATTCTTTCAAATGAGAATTTGGATTACTTCCAATCCTGAAATTAGTACAGGTCTAGGTCAATGTCCTGACTATTTTCATGGTCCCAATAGCAACTAGACTTTTGTTAAACACTGCTTTCTCCTCGGCCCACTAATGTTATAGGATAAACGTATTTTTTTCGCTTGGCATTGAAGAATGGAGAGTTGTGTTGAACCTGCATGGGCGTTGGCGAAAGCCCACGCAAAAGAGGTAAAGAAGCATCGCCACTTAAACCTGGCGAGTCGAATCTTCGTTTCCATTCAGCTCCTAAATCCGTAGCCGGAGCCATGAGTCCTTTGCATTCTGGAGAACTTCTTACACTCAGGAACACATCATTACTGCTATCCCTCTGGCCGGAGGAACCCTAATATAAAAGAGATACATCTTGAATATCATACTTGTTTATGTACAAGAGAAAGGAGGACTTTTCTCTTATAAAAGCGATATTTAAATTAAGTGATATTAATATCAATCATGTCATACTTTGGCTTCATAGAAATCAAGGCTGGACCCATTAGTGTCATTTTCTTCTTCAGGAAAATCAATTTGGACCTGATGCGACGTATGAGAAACCCTAGAGGAATGTGAAGAGGTGTGAGTGGAGGAATTCTCAGAGAGATCATCCCTGCAACAGGCAGCAGTGCAAACTCTATGCTCTCTGAAAGAGAATCGTAATACATATAAATTCTCTATCAAGTGCAAATCCAGTCGACGCCTTATAAAAATGAGTAATTAAGTTACCTTCTAAGAGTAACGGAATCTCGTCTTCTCGGTACAGGCGGCGGAAAACCAGCACCTAAACTTTTGGCGCTTTCATAACTAGCTTCGCTATTACCACTACTATTACTCCCATTGACTTCTTCGCGTAGAAAGTAATTCTTCGCCGAGAGCATCGCAAAGTGAAGATTGTTCTTTAGGTCATCCGCCGCCGTCGACAAGTTTCCCGGAATCTTCGGTGTACGTCTCATAGGTCGTGGCGGAGGAATAGGTGAAGGTGGATTGCTTGAGGTTTCCGATAGGGTTTCCGGTGTGGCGAGTGGTGCCATTCTCGTTAAATGATCCCAATCATCAGGGTGGCTTGATCTGAAGTATAGAGACGAATAACCTTGTAAAGTAACAATGATGAATCTTTGTCTATCCTAATTGTGAGAATGATTAGATTTCTTGTGATGCAAACAGATGCAGTGACACTCGTTTAACAGATCGAGCTGCGTGTATGAGATAAAGCAAGAATCAAATGACAGTGCGTAAATACAGATCGAAGCAAAATCGTGAAGATGTTATACAAATTGAGAGTACGTTTGATGAAATCGAAAGTGAGGTTATAAGACGTAGATGTCTCACTTAAAACATGCCATTCAGAGTTTGCACCCGCGTTCTCCTTGACATCATTTATTGAAAATATTTATAAATTTTGTTTCTCTAGTGTCCGTAATCCGCGGATAAATGGTTTCTTACAATTTGCTTCCGTTTGGTCTGGGAGTGTTTAGCAACTCGCTAGCCAGGCTGACATATTCCCATGGAAGACCTCTCGAGTCTACACTCAGCTCACAACCGGCCTGTGGAAATTCCGTGGGGCTTTGAAGTGACGTGAAACTCGTTTCCAGGCACAATCTGTGGGGTGGCGTCTCGACGCTGGTCGGACATTTCCTGGGGCTCGAGGGCGAGAGCAACGCTCGCAATTCTTGTTCAATTTCAACTTCCTGGACCTCGACGACCTCTCGGGACTCCGACGCCTCCGCGGAGGATGTGTGACCGGATGCGACGCGTTGTGGCTTCGCTGGGCCCAACGTCGTTATAACCTGATCCACGTGGGTTAATGATACTTTTTCGATTCCGATAACGATGCTACCGATTACTAACGATAAACGGTGGTACCGATAACTCCGGGAATAGTGACGATGGTGTGACACTTTTAGGTTAACCTAATCCCAGACCCGCTGAACATTATTCTGACAATGGTTTTGCATTTTTTTGTTAGTTTTTCTATATTTTGCGGTTTTGGTACCGCAATTTATCGTAATAAATACGGTAGTGTTCACGATTAGATAAGCATGTTTAATTTAAACGGATCGACGAACAACGAAAACTGTGCTCTTAGATCACAGCTTTATTAGATAATGATTATCCAATGGGTGGATATCTTGTTTGATAAATCGGTTTATAAGCTCTTTTTTTCTGGGGAAATAATCAGTAAGCACTTTGCGTTTAAGGATTATAGCAAGGGGTGATTCGTTTAATGATTGAATTTTATGTAGCATACACGGGACTCTGAAGGTATGTATATATACTTACCTATATAAAAGAATATAGTGAATGAAACATCAATAACACTCATAGGGAATTAATGCGTGGCAACTCTTTGTCTATTGACAAAGGCCTGATTTTGAAATTTAGTGTATGACAATATGGCGATAATGATTACGATGAAAGTAATGTTATTGTTGTTCAATTGATATGTGATGTATAAGTAATGATGTGTGTCTTTTAATATTAAGTAAAATTTTCGAATATGCAATAAAAATATACAAAAGCAAGTTATAGAAAGATATTAATAAGCCGTTCCAGTGAAAATTAGTTAAACGAAAATAATAATTGTTTCTGCAGCCTTAAAATATAAATGCATACGTCCATGCGATGCATAGACATACATATATCGGATGACCCGTTTAAAATTATATGCATCCGTCAAATATATTACCTATAATGGTGATTTTTAGATGGGTCACCTGATATATTCAATTATCAATAACAACAGCAATGACATAAAAATAAGATTATCCAGTATAGTCTATCAATCGCTAAAAAATAACTAAAATCTCTACTTTCTATAAAATCATAACACTAATTCACATACATAAACTTTTCTAAATAATGTACAATGGAGTCACGATGTCTGCGACACATGTATGGCACGAGTAATGTAATTACTTTGATCATTAACGCAAATGCTAAGAAGCTGTCGAGATTAACACGTTCCGTGCCGCGTCGGGCATATACACCCCACGCTGGCTGATCGACAAGTAACAAAAAAAAGTCCGGCACGGAACGTGTTAATGATTGTGAATATAGCAAAATAGCGCCGTACTTTTCACCAATGAACCTTTATCCTAACGCAAGAATGAAATAGAAAATAAAAAATACGACAAGGACCGTGATTGAAGTAAACAAGTTGCATGAAAAATTGATAAATTGTGCGTACACAACGGTTCAATGATTATAGCAAAATATGTAATTCATAAAGAGATTTAAGGTCATTGCAGATAAGGCTGTCTTATCGACACGAAAATTAATTCGTCAGATCAGCAACTATGAACTTTTTCCAACTCTCAAGAATCTACAAGTCCTTCCGATGGTAACTGAAATTGTTTGATAATCGAAATCTCCTGTTTCAGACTTATCAACGTCCATTCGTCAGTAACGCAATGGTTAGTACCAATCGTTCACACCATCTATCTGCGGTGGGTCAAATAGCAAAAATTTGCAGGCAGCTTTGTCTACATTGACCTTATTCATGGGGGATAGCATGCCTAATGAAGTACCTTGTGTCGTGGCAAGGCGAGGGTGTGGTGGCATAGGCGTCGGCGTCGCGGGGTCGCGGTGATGAACATTGAAGTTGTAGCATGATGTGTTGATCGGGTCTCCCATGCGTCGCGATGTCAATGGCCGACGCTCTCGCTGCTGCAATCTCAGCACTTCGATCTCTGCACGCTGACACCTAATCCACACCGCACACCCTCAGCCACAATATAGTGCTTAAACGCACCCTTCTTGCTAATTCTCAAGATAATCAAAGTATACACGGTGGGCGCTGGGTCAAGGAGTCTTTTTTAGAACGTTAAAGGTCTGGTTAAAGAATAAAAGATATACATAGCTACTGAAACGGATAAACCTTCTCTATGATCTTTTGACATTGGACCTTCACTTACTCCGTGCGATACGGTCGACTCGTTACACTTCTCGCCTAAAAGACTGAATGCTTGATAAAAGCCATGGATTTTTCAGCCATTTGCATTTGGGTTGCTTGTAATTTTTTTTTCATTACGGAGCTATTTGTGTTTCAAGCTGGGATTTTCTCCGTGCGTTACTAACGTGGAGATTTGTTAAGGGATGCACTAATTGGAAGCAATGGGGTTGCAGTATAAGCTGTAAAGTGCAGGATGCGTTTTTGCAGTTTGCGAGCAGTGTCGTTCATTGACAATTTAATAGCATCTGATCGCTGGACAGTTTTTGTTTTGGATTGTACATGTAATTTTTGTGTGTATTTTGTTTAACGTGTTATTATTATTTGTTTGCTTGGTTGTTTTTCTTTACGTTGTTGCTTCTTGCTATGCTATACATACATATACTACCACAGCCTACTCCATGTTGCTGGTGTTAAAAAAGATAATTTAAATGAACGTACGACTTGTATTCTAGGAAAATCAACGTATATTCACTAAAACAGAATACAGTATAAATAGCTCAACTGAAATAATTAAATAATTGCATTTGAATATAACCGGACGATTTATAGTTTTATGCACTACGTATAAAAGAATCGATACTATTTTACTGTATAATAATTATTAAATGAATAACAAATGATAGACAAAAATAGGCGCAAGAGTTTTTAGTCCTACTTTCTAGGTTACGCGGCATGCAGTGCCTGCATTAAGTTAAAAAAAATAACATGCATATCAGTTACTCCGTCTACCTTGCTACTAAAATAGTCAAATTCACAATAACATAAAATTATTTTTCAACCTTCAACTTCAAACTCGAATAGATGTGTATAATACGATGTAGTTATATGGCAAGTTTTCAAGGAACTGTTTTCAACAGAGTTCATCGCATAAGCAAAAAGATAACCATATTCTTATTACGTCAGAAAGTTTAAAAAGCATCCCTTGCTTCGAAAAATAACGTCTATACCTTGACCGTTTTTCTCGAAAGAAAAACTCAAATAACTTAAGTTAAAATATGCCTAATTCTCTTTTTTGTATATTAAATTATCAATACTGTATTGAATTGGTACTGTATTTTGTAAGAAGTAGAACTTAAAAAAAGAAAAACTAATCTAGTTGGAAGCAGATCTACAGATAATGTATTTTCTTAAGTTTTATAAATGATTAGATTCGATTTATCGGTTCAGTCCTATACTCGAGGTTCTATACAGATTCCTCTTTTGATTTATTCTATGGCCTCTTCTAGCTCGTTAAAAATTCAAGTTTGTGAATGACGCTCCAGTGCCCACAAATGTTTTGTAATATCTAAGCCTAATTCGTGTCTTTCAGTTTATCGATCAATTTGATGAAGGTTGCGTATCCTTATCCGCGTGCATCTCTATGTCGACGACAACCGATATGGTATTGATCTCAGAATTCGGTTCCCCAGTAAACCCATAATTCCTAGCGAGATTATCGCGAGCGTCGTCGTGCTTCCCGTTACTCGTTACTAACTTAACGTGACGTTTCTCCTCGATTTCTTCCCTCAGGATTTCCGGCCCGTCTATAGCTTCCTCCAAGGGTTCGTAGAGTCCTGGTTTAACCGAGGGACTTCGGCTAACCGGGGTATGAACTTTTCTCGGTTGTCTGGTGGCTGTCGCAGCTAAGCTTACCTTGTTAAGTGCGTTAAGCATGGTATCAGGCATGTGATCCTGGATCATCACTGGACTGATAAGGACTTCATCGAAGTCGCAAGGACCAGCCCAGAGCGCCTGGTACACTGGTTCTCGTTTTCGCAAAATTTGCCTGAAATTTTCAAATAAAAGTCATCGTCAAGCAACAGATTTTATTTGCGTTAACGGGTGTATCACTTATTTAATAAATATTTGCGATAAGTTTAGCACAGATCTACAGCTTATCGCACGTTATAAATAATTCTTGAGAAACTATTGTTTAGTGTAATGTCTTTTCATATTCCACCATGCACCCCCACCACATATATTCTACATGGTACTATAGATGTATGTATACGTCTGTATATTGTAGCAACAGAGAAGTCGGAACTAGACGTAAAGTCAGAGGAAGAATAACGTGTACATCAGTAAGAATATTTTAGACCCAATATACATGCGCCTACACCCCCAAGATGCAATATTCCCCAGACGTATCCCTGAAAGTGTCAGCATTCCGACAAAAAAAAACACATACCTCCAACGGGATTCATATTTTTTCCTATAAAATGAAAACATATTGTATTAATTGATTCTCCTCGTACACGGCGTCAATTAAATAAAAATTTGGAGATATTCCGAGATATCCTGGAGCCTAGTAAGATCCTTCTTACATGAATTTAATGATATAATATTATGCGAATTGCAAATATACTGACTCGCCCTTGTTGGGATGATGTCGAACGACATGGATGATTCGACCAGGCGGATAGAGTGGTCTATGAAGAGTCAGTGCTATACTCGAGTCACTAGGTAAAACACCCTGTGATCTAGCCAGATCCTTATCCCGCTGATATTCACTGATACATCCTCCAGCTTCAAGATTAGCCGCTGAAGTAGGCGTTGATCCACATCCACAGCACATCACGGAGCACGCTATAGTCTTCCACTGGAGAAAAGTGTTATTATCGATCATAACGATCTCAAATATACAGAGTTTTGCCTATATTATCACTTTGATATTAGTTACCTTTGGATCCACGCTTCTTTTGATAGCATTTATGAGATCTGCTCTGAGACTCTCCATTTGTCTGAGCCCTATCCTGGGAACTACGTCCTTCCCAACCACTACAGAGGTTATGAACTCCTGACTGTACTGTTGCGCAGGCATACTCAAGAGCCCTCCAGGTGGTGCATAGGAGAAGCACATAAGATCAGGATACTCCTGCTTCAGGAGTATCGCTAGAATTGCAGCTGTGCCTGCACCAAGGGAATGACCAACTAGGATCAATCCAAATTGGTCAGTGCCCCTCGCGGGATCCTGAGAAAAGTCATTGTAATAACACTCAAGAGTGAACTTCCAGTTCGTGCAAGCTTTTATTTACTTACCTTTGCCAGAGCTCTTGTGATGATACCTTCGTCGCATAATTTTTTACGTATATATTCGGCCGCTTGCACCATTCCTTTGTGTCCAAGCCAATCATCTCTTGGAGGTGACAGTGGCAATACTTCGCCCTCGGCATTCAAATCGGTCAATACGTCTTTCATACTCAAAGTACCACGTATACTGACTACCACCTACGAAAATGAAGCGAGCATAGAAACGGATGACCTCAAATGGAAGCAAGTGCATCCATAAAAAGAATTACCTTCTTCTTGGAATAATCGAGGGCGACAAAGAATGGCGTCTCAGCGACGTCTACGTGAAAGGTCGCATAAACAACATCGACCTCCCCAACTTGAACAATCTTCCTAAGAGCAGCATAATTGCATTGACAGCAATTGTCATCGACGACAGTGGCATCGTCATCGTGATTCCGACATGAGAGGCAGCTAAATCGTAATCTAGAAAAAAATAAATGATGATCATGATTAATTCATACCTGTCGACGGAAGTCAGTACAGACTTCTCGCTTAGGAGGATGTCGAAGAATGATCACCTGGTGCACAACTGACAGAGACCAGTAGAATGATTGAGTAGGAACAACGGCCAGCCGTAGGCAGCAAGGGCAAAGTGCATATAATGAATGGTCAACTGAAAGTGTCCCAAATCGCCATCCTCAGTCAAGGACAAGAACTTGGTACGAGGTGTAATTGGCACACCGGAGAGGAACTCGTAAGTATCATTTTTACGTTGTTTCACGATGAGCTCTCTTTCGATCTTCTGGAATTTACGTAATAAGACCAGACCGGCAACGACGTCCGACGGGACGACATCGAGATCCCTGAAGAAGTCACTGAGAAGCCGTGCGATGTCCGAAAAAGAATTCTAAATGGGAAACAGAAAATCGAAATCTAAAGTAAAATTAGTATTATCGTTGCCGTACACGGGATTATTCTTGATCTATGGACTTGTATCACACAACTTCTGTACCGTGTGAACGATACAGTCCTTTCCGGGCTGCCAAGCAGCAAAGTTGTGGCGCAACTTCCTGCAGTTAGAAAGTAATACTCGTGGGCAACTGCACTTACTCTATTTCGATCGGAGTTGCCCATGCAGCAGAACAAGAGACGACACCTGTTATCCCAGCTGTCCTGGTAGGCACGTATAACTTTTCTGAAAACATTCATTTTTCATTACTAAGTCTATTTTAAGAAATCCCAAAGAACGTTCAGACAAGAGATAAGATTCCATTAGAGTAAGGAGAATATTGTGAGTATGGCGCAACGGGTATCTCTCGAATGATATAAAATCTCAATCAAGATCTCATGGCTGTCAGTCGATCTGGGATTTACGATTTGGATGAACGTCAGAGGGTACCGTTGTCGCCAATTTCTGTTCCTGCTGCCGCTGCGTTTATAGTGTAATCTAGCCCCACGAGACTCGGCTTCCCGCATGCTGCGCTGATATTTCTTCATCTTGACCCAGGAACGTCCCGCGGCGTCGTACGTGCACCAGACAGTCACCATAACGGACGCCAGGACGCACCAGTTCGATATGACGAGACCTGCGTAGTCAAAATATGTTAACGATTTCTCGACATCCGCATCAGTACTCACATGCCGAGCCAAACTATTTTCCAACTCGACAAGTACGATAACATCCGGAAGCTGAGAAGACTCACCCAGGATGAAATCCTTGACCTGATCCACAGGACAGGTTTGATAGAAAAAAGTAAGCCAAGTGACACCAGCGCACAGCCATCCTGCCTCCACGAGTAATAAAACTGTGAACAAGCAAACATGAAAGCAGTGAACTTTTGAAAAAAAAAATTATGATCGCAAGTCATTCGAACCAGATTGGCTTAAAAAAGGAACACCAATCTGTATTCCGTGTGGCAAACGTTGAGTAAGCTTTTACGGGAAATACAAGTGCTTTCGCAAGCTTCCCTATCATAATACCCATAGTACCGTGCGAAACGAGGATAATATACTATGCTCTTATCCCTTAAACTTTCTTACTGTTTGTACTTTTTTCTCGCTCTCTTACAGGGCTAAATCTTAAAGTTTGAAAATCAAGCAAGAAGCACAGTATATGCTTCCAGCAGAGTTGAAGTGTAGGGATGTGGCGGTTAAAGCAGTGCAACTTTTCTGAAAGCCAAGAAGAAAGAGCTCGAGGGTCGAACGGTAGAACAACAGGGGGCTGTTACCCCCAGCAATGACCAATCAACGTTACGTGATCGGAAAGACAATTGGCTCCCTGGTGCTACAGACATTCCCCGTAGTCTCTGCCTCTATGTACAACCTGGACTCGATTCAGACTGATTCAGACGTATTACTGTGCACGGAATTCTAGATTCTTTTGTCTATTGCCCATGAAGATTTTTAGTTGATATGAGGTAATGATATCGAACTTGACATTTGGACACAAATCGAAACGTATTATAAACCATATAATTGACAACTGTTATCGACACTATCTGTATTATTTTCAGTATCTTAGGTATTAGATCTAGGTATGTATACATATAGCCAACACGAGTGTTCAGGAATTTGGCAAATTTCTCTAAAGTAATGATGAGTCCGTTAAAGTTGAAAAGAAGGTAAAGAGAGATGGGGAAGTAAACGGAATATTTTAGTACATGGTTGTAGGTACTGAAGATCGATTATTCCTATGCGATATATACACATAACTACCGTCTGGAACGTGATCGGAAAAATGATTGCACATGACGACTCTTGTAGGTAGGTCATTGCACAAATCGTAAAATAGTGTAAAATCTTGAAACCAGACAGTGGCGGTACTTGGAGCCAGTCAAAGAAATCCTATGGGAATATTGCTGGTTAGGAAGCTAGCGTCTAGGTGATCATGAAAATAAACGGTACGAGAGTTGATCTTGTTATTACTTTTTGAAAATCTTTTTGAAATATTTGCGTTTATATCCCCTGTATTGTATTATTACTTCAATGGAAATATATTTATCTGATGATAAAACAAGGTTTCAAAAATATCATTGGAAAGCGTTTCAAGATCAAATCGATCCTTAGTAACCTTGATAACGATAATTATACAAACTAAGAGGATTGAATAAAATGTTTTTTCACTGAACTGTAAAAAGTACTTACAATTTCAATTTAAGCAATTGCGTGACATTTTTACGTCATTTGTCTGACACGAATTTCATTTTCAAGTGACAATTCGCTCCACCTTAGCTTCCATCGGACTGATCAATAAACCTATTAAAATTAGTGTAAGGGGAAAATTCTATTGAAATTTTCATCAAAATAATCACTATGACGACCTAGTAGGCTAAGTTTTGTGGAATAAATCGTTTGCAAACCAAAATTGCTCGCTTGGGCAATACTTGGATAAGAAGCGTTGGTGAGCCCTCAGTCGTGCCATCCCTACGAGTGGTCGTTTATTAGGGCGAGAACTTAAGGGTGTGCTGGGGCTCTTATTAATATTCGTCCCTCGCTTGAAGAAAATCGGAAAAGCTCCACAGGGAAGAGTTACGTCACTGACTAAAAGCCTCCGGTTGAACCTTCTGAACCGGTACAGAATTTTCATTAAAGCATCCGCACAAGAAGATTATAGTAAAAATTCATAGATTAACATTAGTACTATCACAAAGGAAATTTTCACGTAATATTACGATTAAAATATAAGAAGAAATTCCGCGATTAAATAAACGAAATACATAATAATCATCAAATATCTCATATCACTTGGTACATTCATAATGACCCAATCATTTCCCGATGATAAACGATAATAAAAGATAATTTCACTAAATAACTTTTCTTCCGGATGACGATGATATCTCGTAAAATAGAGTGTCGACCTTAAGTAAAACGTGAGGTAGGTCAAGAAAAGTAAATGTCAAGGAATGTCGAGACGTTACACTGGTACTTTATGGAATAGATTAGTAACGTGTGTATTGCCCTATCAAAAAATATAAATGAGAGACATTGACCTCTTACGTAAAATTTGTTCTACGCTATGTCTTATCATATTTTATCAGTCATAGGAGTACCAGCAAGCGCGTACGATTTGAAAAACCATGAGCATAGTGTTTATAAAAATTTGTCGCGCGATATTTTTTAAAATATAATTATGATTCACACCGAAATGATCATATGCATAATTATTGTTTTTTCGATGCTTTAGGGAAACGAGAAAGGAGTGGATATTTATAGACAAATAAAATAAATGACGTACACAATCGAAGATAGAGTAGATACTGCATTGGCGCTCTTGGTGCAGTATCCAGGATACTTCCTCTTGTTGCCAGGACACACATGGAAAACTCGACGGTCATAGATGCTAGGAAAATGGCCAGGTATCCCAAGACGTATTCCCACAGGAGAAAGATGCAGTTTACGTTGCGATCCCATTCTAGGATACCCAGTAGGACACTCAGTACGATAACCCTGAAAGAAACAAAAAAAAGCGAGTGATGAATTACACTTTGAAAAAAAAAAACATGAAATGAAGCTGAAAAAACGTGTTTCGCAAGTTACTATGAAAATTTTTTTACGACTATTATAAGCGTCTTAGCATAAAGCCGGTATAATGACGCAAGCTTGAAATCCCAATTGCACCTCGTATTAATTAAACTGATAATCCCATTGAGCAGTCTGTACCCAGTCTCGTTGAAATCCATGTATCATTAGCAACGAGATGAAAAATATTCGATGATAAATATGATAAAGATATATACATATAAATAAATATAATTTTCGAATCGTTGTAATCAATAAAATTGTATCACCCGCGGTAAACAATATCCGACGGATACGAGAAATAAGATAAACTATATGTTAGTTTTATATTAAATTATAAATGGCACACGAGGTACGTGTTAATATTGATTCTTAATTGCAGCTATAATTCAATCCTATCATTTTGCCAGGCATTTCGGATATTTCACGTAAACGAATGTACGTGCGTATAACGATTCATTCAAATGTCACTTCATTTAATTCCAATTGGAGGCGACACTCGTATCTTTAGGTGCCATGGGAGATTAATCGAACCTTTCAATTCTACAGAATTACACGGCGATTTTTCAGAGACACTACATTATAGTACGTATACAGTTTATAGGTTATATGACGTGTCCTGAAATTTTCAGAAAACTTTTCATATTTTTCATGGATATATATCGGGATACCCGCTTACTAATTCTTATACATATTGCAGACGGATTATGGACTACGAGGAAGGCGACAGTTTTGACGATGCTGCATACCGCATACCCAAGGGTACTATTTCCAACAAGATATATGCGCTTGACATGCTCGACGGGCATCTAAGGTTCTATTGAATTTCCTATGGTGTACTATCAATTTGACGAATTCCCTAGTAGCTGCTTTTGTCTAGTTATAGCCCTATGTTTGCAGAAGAGACACTCGTTACATAAAAATAGTTTAAAGCATTTTATGGGAACTCTGTCAACATTACTGTCCTCGAATAACGAGACTGTGTTCGTTTTCATAGAATTCAGCTATGTATTATATTAGCTTGGGACGAGATGATTCTTCCTGCCTTTTGGAAAATAAGCGTAAAAGTGACAATCCGATAATTGCTGGGTGATTTCGAATACGATTTTTACCATTGGATTGCTGGAACGAATCGAGTGATTTATAGTGAGTCCGGTTTGAATTTTCATAAAATTTACAGCCAGTCGCTGGCAGATGATTAACGGTAGAACTTCGAGGTAAAGTGGAAGTTACGTTATAGCGAATAAATGCTTATATAATATTATATTACATAACTGGGACTTTATTCATTATAAATATTATGTGTTTTACGTAACTGTATCGTGCCATATAAATTTCAAAAACTGTTATTCTTTATCGGATGCTCGATTTTACTAAGTGACATGGAAAACAATTTCGGAGCGTTCTTACGACACAGATCTTCGTAAGTTTGTCTCGATTCAATTGAAAATACGTAAGTTCTCTGTCAACGTGTATTTTAATGATTTTTCTCACAAGAAAAAATATTTGTTAGTCTTTTGTTTAATCAAGTCTGAAGCTAATAAACGGCATATCAAGTTTAGATGGGAATCAAGACATACGAAAAAAAAAAAAGCTAAAGCCAATCGGCCGTCACGAGGTAAATTTACCGTGACCCGATTCTTCGCTTCCGTAGCTTCCGGCTGATCGATAAGAGAGAAGTTCATAAATAAATATCGTATATGTATAAATAACGGCATGGCGATCGCATAGTGTCTAGACAAAAGTCCGTCAATTATAAATGTGAGATGTGTCCTGATAAACTTGGATACGATTCAGATATTCTCGAGCCACTCATTGTCCTTACCAGGTCCAGTAAGGATACTTCATCTTTCTTTAAAAAATGCCCCACCTCACCCGTAGCTTTCTGTCTGGGGATAAGCTGCTCCATGGCATCAGAAACCATGGCTGAGTTGAGATGCTGTACTCGCACGATGACAAAAGGTCTTTTCCTTTATATACCTTGTCATTTGTTAGGTTAGGATTCCATGTCCAGCCAGCTAGCATACCCTCTGTCGTAGTGGCGGTATAAGAGGGTAGCAGAATGTAACAAGAAAAAGGAAGAAGGTTCCCAACCAAGCAACACTATTGACCTAGTTCGGACTGGGTCCAAGACTGCCCATTCATCAAATGTTCCGGATGATTGCTTGGGGGTGGAAAAAAAAAATTTGAAATTCAAGGAAATAAGCGAAAAGATAACCGAAGATCAGGGTAGATACGTCATTCTCATTCATGCCATCTATTCTCAAAATATTGTCTTATCTTACATACTTAGAACATGTGTTATTGCATCGATCTATTTAGAATGTCTAGTCGGTTGGTTGGCGATAAAAATATCATTGAAGATCTGTGCGAATAATATAATGTACATTTGTCACCCATTTTTTGTATGCTAAGAGGTTACTCCATACTGTGAGGTTGAAAAGTGAAACAGGCTAAAGGTTCGGTGATCGGTGAGTGGTACACTTTCGATTTCTCGGTGGTCGCTACCCTGCAGGGTCAGACGTAGCTCTGGGCTGTGAACGTGTAGGAGGAATGAAAAAGGAGGTAGAAAGTGAGTGAGAGAGGTCCGATTTGTGACGGGTGCGAGGATGAAGGAGATATCGTTGGGGGTCGAGAATACGAGGGCGATTGAGGCAGCCATGAGATAGAATGAGAGCGGATGTGTGCTACAAAAGCTTTGGACAGATCGTGGGGTAGGTAGCGTGAGGTTTAAGGCCCTCGCGAGTACCTATCTCAAAATCTCACAAGTTGAATTTTGCCACGAGGTGAGAATGTTTGAAATAAGCTGAATAAATTATTCGGTATTATTATAGTATCAAACTGATCGATGAAGTATAATAATTTTATAAGGGGTGTATAGGGAGAAGATTAGGCTTAGGATACCGTAGAAGCAAAAGTGTGCCTATCGCCTTTCTATGATTTCCAAGAAAAATTACAACGTCTGGTGACAACATCCCTCTCGGTGTAGTTCGTAGACAATTTTCAGGAACCGATGAAACCTACGGAATAAATTTTGCTAGAATCTACCGGGTACATCGCCGGAGGATAAAACTCGCCCTTATCGATTCGATCGTTCATAACGTACAAAATGCCAGGTTGACTCGTATAACGACGAGTAATAACCTCGAAAATGATTCTATAGCGTCTGCGTAAAGTCACTAATACCTCAATTGACTATACCGTCGATCCACGCTATAAATTTAAAGCAGCGACCATTATTTCGGTGATAAAATCGCTGAGATAACGCGGCAAACATTCGCGGGAATTTTAATTCATTGTTTTGCGTCGTGCTTTGTCAACGTGCTGTCTCCTATCGCTAGATGGATAAGGATAGGGAATACTGTAGGGTCGAATAGAGCGTAACGTGGGAGAACGCAGGGTAGAGCATGGGAAAATAGAATGGAGTAGAGGAAAGCGAAACAGAACAGAGCAAAAGCAGAGTCGAAAGTGGAGACGACGACGACGACAAACGAAGGGCCGTCAGCCTTGGCTGCTGCGTGGTCCGTATCGATTTACCTTGTACCGGGTCCTCCACGCCATTCCGTGGGCCACGCTCCTTTACTTTCCTATACGCCGCGCATATACTTTGCTCAGCCTTGTTTTCTCTGGTTGCTTGGCTGCTCGGTCCGCGCGGCGCGACGTGCTGCAAACCTCTAGTGTCTTAACGAAGGAGCGACGACGCTTAAGCGTTTGCCAACGGCATTTCTACGAATAGACAACGTGCCTCGAGAAGAGTGAAAACTTCCACTCGTTGCAGACACTTTTTTTTGGACTCTTACACTTTTGAGAAATTATCGCGTTTCGTTGACCAAACGAAAATAGCGTATTAACTAGACGGTTATTCATGACGTTTTTTTTTTCATTTTAATTGGAGCACTACGTATGTATTCTGGGTATAAGCCTTTGTTTCGGTTAAAATGGTACTTGCTTTACTTTTCGTGCTAAGAACCCTTATAATTTTTTTTCGTCGTTTTCTGTATTACGTAAGCGCGCATTAGGTTATAGAACATTGACTAACATTGTTTTAAAAAGTTTTTACAAATTTTCTTGTTCGACGTCTTGTAATACGATAAACGTGTTACTGGGTGAATTTTGTTGCGAAAGTAGCAAAGTCCTTAATAAACTGTACCAAGGTCATGCACATAGACATAGATGTTGACTATTCCTACCCTATAGGGTTCTCTAAAGAGTCCAACCAGTAACTGCACATCTCTACTGGGAAATGAATTTGAAAGCGTAATTTCAAGAGGATGAGCTCAGTGTCGTTTTCAAGAAGAATGAGAGGGGTTGGTGTGAACTAGCCCTTTACCGTTAACGCAAGAACGTCAAGTAGCACGTGGTACATACCTGCAGGTTGAAGTAGCCATGCTATAAGTGATGCAATAATTTTCATTCGTAGTTAAAAATGAAAAATCAAAAAACTTCTTCAACAGTCGAGAGTTTGCTAAAGTGTCTCATAAAATATGAAAGTAAAGTTCACGCCCTATTCTATTGTTCCCTGTCAATTGTGATAACGTGAGAAGAAACAAAAAAGACAATTTTTTCTCCGTGCGATGCATCCGGAAGTCGATTTTTGCATCACCAGATCGAAGCACCAGTTTACTCTTAGCTTTATCTTTTTATTATTTGCTGATAATACTAAAAAGAAGAGGATATTGGTCCAAAGTTAATCTAGAGAGACACTACAGACTGATTCGAAAGAACGAGCACTATAAGCCAGGCCGAGGAAAAAAGTACAGAGGTATAATAAACCCGGTGACCTTTGACATTTAGGTTAGCCACAGAGTCCTTCCTTATCTTTGGTCTAACAGCGCACGATATTAAGAACCAACCCTAACGTTGATGATAGGGCTTAACGACTTTTTGTACCATCGAGAGATGCTCGTGGTAATCAATAAGCTTCTCTG